AGTATACAGTTTTATTTTCATGAACAATTCGAAATTTGAATTCAATAAACTTTTTGTGGCCAGCATTCTAAAAGAAAAGTTTTTACTGTGTGACAATACTTATGACCTGACTAGGTATTATAGATAAGATAGGTCGAATCTATACTAAAACCAAATCAGAACGCCCCGACTACATGTAGTCGTTTCTGTCCTACCCCTAGAGTGATTTTGTAAAGCTGTAGGCGCGGAGGGAGAGCAGCCCCCGCCCGCTGTGGCAACACCTCCGCAGCTTCGGCTTACTGGTCGCCTTCGGCGACCAGCCTCAGCCTCTACGGCTCGCACGGATGCTTGTGATTTGCTACGCAAGGGCGAAGGGTCTGCACTCCCCGCAGCGTTGCAGAAGTAACTATGTCAATATTCCTGCAACGCAAATTTCAACAGTTCGTTGCGGAGAAAATTTTAGAGCAACTAATTTTTAAACTTGGTACCTAATTAGCACCTAAAAAGACCCTAATTTTGGGTTTTTGTAAATGCAAATTCCGTCAAAATTTTGCGTTGCTGGCTATACACAACTCCATGCAGGAATGATGAAATAAGTTTTAACTACTATTTTAACACATTTGCAATGTTTTTTAATAACGTTCGTTGTTTGTTTAGAGAATTTATAATTATGCTTCCGTGTAATTATTTATGCACAGCATCATCATCATTACAGCCTTTCATAAGTCCACTGCTGAACATAGGCCTCCCCCAAGGAATGCCCAAAGCACGGTCCTGAGCCACCTGCATCCATCGACTTCCTGCATGTCTTACCAGGTCGTCACTCCATTTTGTGGGGAGTCGCCCTACACTTCGCCTACCGGTACGAGGCTGCTATTCAAGAACCTTTCTTCCCCATCGGTTATCGGTTCTTCGAGCTATATGGCCGGCCCACTGCCACTTCAGCTTACTAATCCGTTGGGCTATGTCGGTTACTCTGGTTCTACTGCGGATATACTCATTTCTAAGTTTATCACGCAGAGAAACCCCGAGCATAGCCCTCTCCATAGCTCGCTGAGTTACCTTGAGCTTCCTCATACGGCCAGCAGTGAAGGATCACGTCTCAGATCCGTAAGTCATCACTGGCAACACGCACTGATTGTACAATTTCGTTTTAAGGTTTTGAGGTATGTCTGACGAGAAGATGTGTCGTAGTTTCCCGAAAGCTGCCCAGCCGAGTTGAATACGTCGATTGACCTCTCGGTCGAAGTTGGACTTACCTAGTTGGACTATTTGTCCCAGGTAAACATACTCGTCAACAACTTCGAGCTTAATGCTCCCAACAACTACCGGCATAGGTGTGACATGGACATTAAACATGATCTTTGTTTTGTCCATGTTCATCCTAAGACCTATTCGTTGGAAGACACTATTGAGGTCATTGAGCATGGTGCTTAGGACCTCCAGCATTTCTGCCATAAGGACTATATCGTCAGCAAATCGAAGGTGAGTGATGTACTCGCCATTGATGTTAATACCGTATCCTTTCCAGTCCAGAAGTTTGAAAACGTCTTCCAATGCAGCTGTGAAGAGTTTCGGGGATATAACATCACCCTGTCTTACACCTCTCTGCAATTGGATAGGTTTCGTACTACGATTCTGTACTTGGATAGCCATCGCAGCTCTACTGTACAAACACTTCAGCAATTCGATATACCGACAGTCAACTTGGCACCGCTGAAGGTGCTGCAGTAGCAGCACCGCCCAAATTTCGACGGAATCAAAGGCTTTCTCATAGTCCACATACGCCAGACATAGTGGCAAATTGTACTCTTCGGACTTCTGTTCAATTTGCCAAAGGGTATGTTTGTGGTCTATAGTGCTAAAGCCTTTTCGGAAACCGGCTTGTTCGGGAGGCTGGAAGTCATCAAGTCTGCGCGCGAGACGATTCGTAATGACTCTCGAAAACAGCACGTAGACGCGGCTCAGAAGGGAAATCGGTCTGTAGTTCTTCAAGAGAGCGTTGTCACCTTTCGTGAAGAACAAGACCACCGCACTTCTGCTCCACGCCTCTGGTGTAATGCCACCATGGAGGACGGAATTAAAGAGCTTCTGAAGGACTTCAAGTACCGGTCTTCCACCCGCTTTCAGAAGCTCCGCTGTAATTCTATCCTCGCCTGGGGCTTTGCCGTTTTTAAGGTGACTGACTCAGACTGACGTCCGGGATATCTGCGGAATAGTGTCGGATAAGACTCGCTCTTAGATCGTTACTCACACTTGCCTGTGGCTCCAACGATGACGTGTACAGCTGCCCATAGAACCTCTCAATCTCACTCAAAATCTCAGGTGTCCCAGAAACGATGCTGCAACATTCGGACTTCAGCTTTGACAGTTGGCTCTTTCTGGCAGACAGATCTCTGGCAAAGACTTTGGAGCCTTGGTTCCGCTCGATCGCTTCTTCAATACAAGCTGTATTGAAGTTGCGTAAGTCCCGCCGCATGCATTTGGAGATCTGTCTGTTCAGTTGCCTGTATGCTGTCAAATCTGTTGAAGAATGTAGCTTCATCTCCCGTCTAACAACCATGAGATTGATAGTGTGATCGGAGAGTTTTTGTGTTCTTCTGCGGCGGGTCTTGCAGAACTTAGCTCCGACCGCATGGACAGTTTCCACGAGCTTGTCATTCATATCGTCCACTTCATTGCAGTCTTCTAGGCACTGAAAACGGTTTTGTAACTCGAGCTGAAAGGTTTCGGGACTTTGGATTAGAAGAACGAGGGGGACGGAGCGTTGACTTCATTAGACGAGACCTTTCCAACTTAACGTTTAGGTTCAGTGTGCCTCTGACCATTTGGTGATCGCTATCAGTTTTCACCCTCGCGATCACGGAGACATCACTGAACAGTTGTCGTCTGGTCGTCATAATGAAGTCAATCTCATTTTTTGTGGAACCGTCGGGGCTCGACCAGGTCCACTTCCTGTGGGGCCGCTTCTGGAAGAAAGAGTTCATCATAAAGAGTCCCTCTTTCTCCATGAAGTCGGCCAGCTGCTGGCCCCTTGGGTTCCGTTGCCTTATTCCAAATTTCCCTACTTTCAGCTAGTTTTACATTGAAGTCTCCCATTAACACCGTATATTGGGTTTTGGAGGAATGCATGGCTCTAGAGATATCCTCATACATTTCCGCCACCTCCTCATGGGGGTGTGCCGAGGTTGGTGCGTAAGCCTGTATGACCTTCAGCGAATACCGTTTGGTGATTCTAAGTATAAGGTACGCAACCCTCGTCGACACACTCTCAATCTTTACAACGTTGTTAACGAGAGACTTGTGGACGATAAATCCGACACCTCCTTGGGACAGATGGTCGCCCTCCCGGCGATAGAGCAAGTTGCCGGATTCGAGGATTACCGTGTCCTCCCCCTCTCTTCGGACTTCGGATAATCCTATAATATGCCAGCGTAACTTGTCTATCTCTTCTTCCAGCTCCAAGATCTTCTCGTCAGTCCTCAGGGTGCGTGCGTTGTATGTTGCCAGATCGAGTCGTCTTAGGTGGCAACCGAACCTCCACCGGAGATTCCTAGCACCCCCTGCCCCGCCGTTACCATGGTCGCCACCGTAGCCACGAATAGCGGGGCCGCCGGGGACTGGGGGCTGTTTCTTTGTTACTCTCGTCGTAAGGGGTATTTGCCATAGTTGCCACGCTTAGCGAGCGGGTTGGCAACCGCAGTTTTTTATTGTAAGTTTGTTGTTATCAGGAAGATGCTGCTGCCCATCTCCTGCCTGTTTCCCTTTGTCACCTTTTACGACACCCACGGGAAGATATGGGGTAGTAGATATTCTTAACCCCACTACATGGCACACCCGAGTGAAATTTTCCGCAGTAGACTCTACTTGATTATAATTGCATCCCGTATATATTTATAACTAAGCAAACCACGTTTTACATCGTGTAGTGAAGGCGTAAGAGAACCCACTATAGTTATTTTATATCACGATGAAGTCTTGACTTTGGTTGTTGTTAGCCGTGCACATACACATTGTGTTAGTGTGCGTAGCCTGCGGGCGCTCGAGAGTAGCGCTCTCGAGGCCTACGCACACAAGCACAATGTGTATGTGCACGGCTAACACAACCAAAGTCAAAACTTCATCGTGAAATAGAATAACTATACCCCATATCATCCCGTGGGTGTCGTATGAGGCTAAGCGTCCACTAGGCTCGCCGAGCCGAGTCGAATCGAATCGCAGAAAGTCGCCTCCTATATATTTACTATGAAACTGCATCCATTAGCGAAGAGCCGCGGCGCGCCGAATTGAATTGACCGCGCGAATTGCTTGACAGGCGAATTTCTTCGTCGATGCGATTCGATTCAACTCGGCGCGCCTCAGTCGACGCGGAGAAGTGGATCTATGCATTATTTTAATTTTATAAAATATAAAATTAAAATATAAAATCTAAATAAAAATGAATGAAGAACTATTGATATCACTGGTCCAACAATATCCAGAATTGTTTAATCGTGAAGATCAACATTATCATGATGAAATAAAAACATCTCTTCATCCGAGCTGTCCATGACGCAAATACGACCTAGGTATTTTGTTGAAGAATTTGCGATGAATGAACAATTAGATTTGATTCGTCAGAGATGGACGCCCTAGGAATAAATGCGACTCGCTTCGATTCGACGCATTTCTGCTGTAGTCGACGCCAGGCTTAAGGTGACAGAGGGAAACTGAAACAGGAAATGGGCAACTGTAGCTTCCTGATAGCAACTCAAAATAATAAAAAAACTCCGTTTGCAGCGATCGCTCAGCCCCTGAGTTGAGTAACTAAAATATCACCATCAGACTGCGTTAGTCCACTGATGGACATAGGCCTCTCCCAAGGCACGCCACTTAGCCCGATCTTCGGCTACACGCACCCAGTTACTGCCAGCAGCCTCGCTACATTTAACCAGGGGCGTCCCAAACTACGTTTGCCTAAACGCGGTCTCCACTCTATGACACGTCGACTCCAACTAAAATATAATATATGCATATTACAGAGAGCGCACGGTCCGCTGTTCATCGGTGTTGATCGGTGCGTTGGGACTGTCCTTGGTGGCGCTCGCAATCTACACAACTGTTCTGGTGCTCACCGAAAACAGGAGCCCAAGACCCTGCAACAGCGAAGAATGCGTCGGTACAGGTGAGTCTTTGACACCTTATGATGATCTATGTTATTTTTGCTAAATTGACAAACTGTTTAATAGTTCACTTGATGGTTAGTGGCTGCTGCAGCCTATGGACACCTGCTTTAAACATAGAAGGTTTTTTACGTGGTAGAGCCATGCTGCAGCTATATCAGTAGTATAGTTGTAGCACGAATGGGTCGGCTCGACCGGGGAAGGACCACGCTCTCACAGAATACCAGCGTAAAATAGCAGCTTAATGCTGTTGTGTTTCGTATGGTGAGTGTAGAGCACCGGAGACCTTTTTTACTGCAAAAGAGGCATTCTATTTTAGTCCTCACGGCTGACAACTCATCTGCATTTTAATTCGCAAACGAAGATAGATGTAGATGTCTATGGGCCACAGCAACCACTTACCATCACGTGGACTGCGTGCTCGTTTGTCACCCTTATTCTATAAAATCTAATAGTTCACTTGATGGTTAGTGTATGCTGCAGCCTATGAACACCTGCTTTAAACTAAGAAGGTTACAGATGCCTTGCAGTCTGTATTTTTACTGGCTCTCTATACACTTCAGACCGGAACCACAGTTTAAAAAGCTAACAGTTTGGAAACGCCTTTGATGTCAGGCCATGTCGCCGCCCGCGTATACTTTTACTCGGGCGGTAGGGTTGTCACGAAAATAATTTTGCATATTATTATACTCATTATTATTTATTAACATGTACATACTTATAAGTTGAAAACATTTATTGAACAAAATAGTTTTTATTACTACAAGAAATATCGATCACTAATAAAAAACCAGATACACAATCAGTGACAAAAATGTCCTTATCAAATGAGCGCCCACTCGAACATTTGGGTACGCAATGCAATGCATTTAAGGTGGAATTTACACTAATGTATATTTATTTCAACTAGAATTACGTCAAAGCAGTTGGCGACAGTTTTTAGAGAACTTTTCCACGGGATTTTGTATTTAGTTTTTTATCAGTGATCGATGACAAGAAACAGGAAGTGTTGCAGTGCCAAATATTTTCGTGGAACTTTCTTTTTATAGATGTTATCAGTTCTCGATTGTTAAATTCAATTAAGTAGTGTATTCGCATTAGGATTAACTATATTATCAAAAAGAAAATGAGGGAAACATAAACATGGCCGTCATTTGAATTCAACTTTACTTAGTAACTCTATAATGTGTTTATATACGTGGTAGAGCCATGCTGCAGTTATATTATGGTTGAAGCACGAATTGGTCGGCTCGACCGGGGAAGGAAAACGCTCGCAGAGAATACCAGCGTAAAATAGCAGCTTAACGCTTCTGTGTCTCGTATGGTGTGTGTAGAGAACCGGAGACCCTTTTTACTGCAAACGAGGCATACCATCTTAGTTCTCAGGGGTGACAAGGCATCTGCATTTTGATTCGTAATCTAAGATAGATGTAGATCTCTATGGGCCACAGTAACCACTTACCATCAGGTAAACAGTGTGCTCGTTTGTCACCCTTATCCAATAAAAAAATAAAAAAACTACAACAGTAATTCGACAGCTCCGTGGCGCAGTGGCTTAGCAATCAGTTGTTACGCTGGGGGCCGCGGGTTCGAATCCCGCACGGAACAAGTATTTGTATGGCCTACAAATAATTGTTCCGGGTCTGGATGTATGTCCTTGTGCAATTTATTTTTGTAAACTGCCTCCACGACACAGGAGAAAATCCTAGTGTGGGGGTAACGTTTTTTTAAACAAAAAAAATTCACCATTATAATTATTAGATGTTTCGAAAATGGCACTTAAAATTAGTTAAATAAGTACTATAAAACACGCTCGCGTCAACCGCATGTATTTGACAGCAGGACTTAGGCATGCCGCGCACTAGGCAGCCTGGCTGCGAGTGCGCGGGGGGCCTCGATGCCATCGATCGATGGTCGATCGATCGGTGTGTTAACACCCTTACGCATAGTTGTTAATATACTTACTAAACGTAGCAATTACAGCAAATCCCATTAACTTGTGAGATACTATTTCGCAGTGGACTATTGTAGTCACGTTGACTGCCTCGTTGGTCTATTTGTCGCTATCTAAGTCCCGGGTTTGAAGCCCGGGTCCCGGAGAAGAAATTCTCAGTAGCAACTCGGAGTCAGTAAAGGCGGTTTTTCACCCCTATGCTACGGAAAGCATTTAAAGCCGTTGGTCCTGCGCCTGATCTCTTTCCGTTCGTGTCGGATCCCGTCGACCTATGAGAGGGAGGGCACTAAATTCCCGCCCAACGCAAATGACTAGTCTCCGTTGAGCCAGGCTACCGTGACCGAAATGCAATCTGGAGGACATTATTACTATTGTCGTTACGTTAATCTTCTATACATAGGTATACTAAAAATGTAAATTACAGATGTCCGTACATTTTATATTTTTGTAAAAAAAAATCATTGAGAGGGACTAAAAAAATAAGTAATTAAATACATTTCTATCATTTTTAGAATTTTATATCTATCTGTCTGTTTGTTTATGAACGTATCACGTATAAAGTACTGTGTTGTTTCAAAAGAATCGTTAAGAAAACCATAAAACGTGTCTTCGAGTTACATTTAGTCTTTGTTTATTAAAATAGGTTCATTCTATCAAAAGTTATGATTAATATTCTGAAGTACGGGTACGAAGTAATTTTTATTTCTTTCCGAACGTTACTTTGTTATAAGGAAATTAAAGCTAAAGAAAATCTTCACGAAGTCGTACATTTTTCTTTTAAAAAATTGCATAGGAAATTTCATGTACCTATATCGGACAGTAACAATATCGATTATTGTACAAAAACATTGCCATCGCTATATTCAATTAAGGTGAAAGCTTCAGGGTGGCCCGCGAAATTCAAATTTTCTTACGTTTTTTGAAACTTGCAGGTCAGGGTCAGGTTGTATGTTTAACAAAATATGAGTCGCAACCGTATCGAGTATGCGTTTACGGAATTATTATCATTAAAATCACCAATACGACCCTCTATGTTCATATAATCCATTTGAATGAGTTTTTCTGGAAATAGCCATACACTAGGATTATACGAACATAATGAAAACCCTAAATTACACGCGGGCGAAGTTGCGGTGAACAGCTAGTCAGCATATAAAAGTCTACTACAAGACATGGGTCTCTCCCAATGTAGTGGTGATTTGCCAATATAAAACTTAATGATTTCTTATATTTACGTGAACACTACACATTGAATAAAACTACTTTTACGGATTTAATCGCTCGTTTAATTGTTCTTATTTTTACTTCCCGACGTTTCGGATGCTTTCCAGCACCCATGGTCACGGGAGACAGAGGTGATTGACATCCCGATGTTATAGTTAGCCCGGCTACCTTAATAATTAATTAAAAAGTTAAAGATATATTTTAGAAATTAGGGTTCGCGCAAAAAATTAAAACCTATGAAATCTAAGCGTAATAACTTAAATATATAAAAAATAAATTAAATATCCAAGACTAGCTGTAGACTTCGTCCGCGTGGTACAGCTAGACTTGTATAAAAATATCGAGTCACGCACTACACAGAAAGCTTTACAATCAAAATAATATTGTTGGCTAATAATACTCAAATAATACTTTTTAACCGACTCAAAAAATGGGAAGGACAACGTCTATCTAGGTTCTAGGCACATGTTGTACATAGTACTGTTATTTATTCTGGGGTATATGGCAATGTGTCAGCCAAGTTTGAAAAAGAAAAGGGCTGGCAGTGTGTATATATTTACAGGAACCATTTCGAGTTACTTTAGAACACCCCACTTGTACTATAATTTTCCATGCCTAATAAGGCAGATATATTAGTAGTATAGTTGTAGCACGAATGGGTCGGCTCGACCGGGGAAGGACCACGCTCTCACAGAATACCAGCGTAAAATAGCAGCTTAATGCTGCTGTGTTTCGTATGGTGCGTGTAGAGAACCGGAGACCTTTTTTACTGGAAAAGAGGCATTCCATCTTAGTCCTCACGTGTGACAACGCATCTGCATTTTGATTCGCAAACAACGATAGATGTAGATGTCTATGGGTCACAGCAACCATCAGGTGGACAGTGTGCTCGCTTGTCACCCAATCGTATAAAAAAAACCTAAGAAAAACCTAATTCAGAATTTCATGAACAAACATATTCATGATTTTGAAAGTTATGAAAAGTGCCTTTTGCTAAGGCATAGTTTTATAAGAATTCTCGACTTCAGAAACTATTATGTGGAAATTATTTTATTCTTTTTTGATTTTCTTTATTTATTTTTTTAAATTTTTTTAATATTCTTTTTTAGTTTTTTACCCTCTTGATAAATAATATCACAAGTTCAAGGTAACAATTAGAATGTCGTCTAAACATCTGAGGAATTGTTCGGATTAATCCCAGCCGCCAAATTTCACGAACGCACATCGCGGCAGTACTCCCGATACCATCCACACCATCTGGATGATTGGCGGTCCACCACTGTGCGATTTAGAAGATGTTTTCTTCCTCGCACGACTTCCTTGTGGAATCGATTACCATCAGCGATTTTTCCGGACCGATACGACTTAGGGACCTTCAAGAAAAGAGCGTACTCCTTTCTAAAAGGCCGGCAACGCATCTGCAATTCCCTCCCTGGTGTTGCAGTTGTTCATGGGCGGCGGTAGTCACTTACCATCAGGTGAGCCGCATGCTCGTTTGCCCCCTCTCCTATAAAAAAAAGTAAAACAGTAACATTACAATTTTTATCCCCTATTTTACCACCCAAAGGCGTGCAATTTCTTCAAAAAAATTATTAGGCACCACCCCTGATAGCAAAAATCGAATCATAAATAAAGATGTTATGCTCGAACATATATTAAAAATAAATATGCAGACGAATTGAGAACCTCATCCTTTTACCATCCATCCGTCCATTACAGTCCACAAAAGTCCACCCCTCTCCCTTGGATTGCCTCTTAAGGAGGATTTCGCCATAGTTGACACTGTTTGGGTAGCGGTTTGGCAACCACAGTTTTTAATCATCTTCTGTTTTAGTTTCCCTCTGTCGCCTCCTGCGACACCTACGGGAAGATATGTGGTAGTGGATATTCTTACACAGCCACTACATGGTCTTTCTCCTTTTTAAAGGTCGCTTAATAAATATGAACTTACTTCATATAGTCGCATACGAGTAAAGAAAGAGTAAACATAGAGTAAACGCGTGTGGAATCCGGCTTCGTGATTAAATTAAATAGAGGATAACTTACCACTATTAAAATAATGAATCTTATTAAAATTATTCCGTTTTAAATGAGTTGCATATTGCTTACTGCTATGATATGTGGTAAAAATGATTGTCTAGCTACTGATGGTACTCGTAAATAATTATCATAATCAGTTTGTTTCACCGAATGTACTTTGAGTATTTATGATGTTGGATTTGACTTAGTAAGATAGAACTGACGTTACGTAATGTGAATCTTTCGCATTGTTTATTAATTTTTTTCCGTGTAAACGACGCAGCTCGCGTGATGTATGCCACGTGGCATTTCCAGACGCAATTACACTAAATACGCTAACTGCGTGTTAATGGAGTTTATTGCGATTGCATTAATTAAAGTTTCGATGGCGCAGTAACTAGGATTTCTGTTTATCCGTACCCTGACACCATGACTGTAGTTATTTATTTTCTAACACGTGGACTCGGTAAACAATAATATAAATAAAATTCTTTTTATAACGTGGTATTACTTATAAAAGGTCAGTTATTAGTTGTACTTGAACAAGGTAAACGTTTTTAGAAACATATATTTCTTTTTTAATTTAATGTCATTTATACTCGATGGTACTTTAGAAATATTTAATAATGCATATTTTGAACGCTTTATTTTGTATAGTTAGTGTTGGTAGCTTATTCGATTTTATTATATCTTCGCCTATTTTATCTACTATAGAGGAAACCGGTAAGCATTTGTTAATTAAAACCGGGCACAGACTTTGTATAACTCAATGGCACAGACCTTTCATTTTAATATCACTTAGCACTTATCGACTGCGCTAATGAAGTGCGTGTTAGTGGTTTTCTCACGATATTTTAATTTGCCACCTAACACGTATTTAAAACAGAATGTAAAATTTCCAATTAACAGTTTGCAGTGATCATTTACCCATATGATGAGCTATCGCGGCTCATTTCTACTAATAATTGGTTAACTTGGTCACGGGGTACCTACCTACTGATGTATTTTTCGATGAGATGCCAGAGTTAACCCTAGTATGAATTTAGGATGAAAATACGAGTTCAAAAAACGAAGAGGTTTTCTATATTGAACGCGTTTATTATTATTTTTAAGTTTACCGATTTCTCGGAAATGGCTGAATCGATTTATACGCTAATTTTTTTCATCAAATAGTTTATACGTCAGAGGTGATCCTACACGGAATAAATTATTTTTAGAAAAATAGGGGATGAAGATTTTAATGTAAAAGTGGTGGTAGCTCAGGCCTGAAGGTCCCTTGATAACACGGGCGCCCTAAATTCAATTACCGGTATTTGTTCAGCGAAAGAGAACCATCATGAAAAAGAAAGAAATAATAAGTAATAATAATAATAACAGTCTTTATTGATAAACATATTACATCCACAAAAATTTACAGTGGTCAACAGCCCCTAAATCAGGATATTATACATGTATTATAGAAAATAGGAATTAAAATGTATATTTAAAAGACATTGTACTTGTCAGGTACCTTGAACTTGTGATATTGTGTAAAATGCTTTGACTTCAGAGGACATTCTGAGAAACTTTTTTTTTTTTAAATACAGTTTTATTTTGGAACGAAGTTCCATAACGAATTTTGCGAACGGGAGATAGGCGAGAAAAAGTGTGAGATTTTTCCGTCACGACCCCTTCTGACGTATTGTAGGCGACGTTGGCGGGTATAAGGAAGTGAGAAGGAATAATATCTATCTCCCTCGCACTTTTTCTTATCTTGCTATGAACGAAATATTATTTTATTTTAAATGACGCTTTATTTTAATAGACGCTAATAATTCACTTATTTGTATTTGTTAATCAATAATATAATACGTTTATCAATAATAATATACTACGAAAGGAACTTCGTTCCAAAACAAAGTTTATATTTTCACTAACTATAATATTGCAGCATCACGTATCCTTTCATCCTTGAACAAAGACGTGGATCCATGCACGGACTTCTATGAGTTCGCATGCGGCGGATGGATCAAGAAGAACCCGGTGCCGGAGTGGTCGACGTCGTGGGACCAGCTGGCCTTGCTTCGCGAGCAGTTGATCGAAAATCTACGCGAGCTCCTCGAAGCTGAAGATAAGGAAGGTCTGCCCGAGAGTGTTGTTAAAGCGAAGAAGTTGTATAGAACTTGTATTGATACCGGTGAGTTTGAATTCTTTTTAGAGCCTCTCTAGTCGTTGGCTTAATCGTCACATTTGGCAAACGGTTTGATGCTTGAAGTACAAGAGGAGTGCTTCCCTTTACCGACCTGCATCTATCGAAAGCAATAAGAATATTAATTTAAACATGGTAGAGCCATGATGCAGATATATTAGTAGTATAGTTGTAGCACGAATGGGTCGGCTCGACCGGGGAAGGACCACGCTCTCACAGAATACCAGTGTAAAATAGCAGCTTAACGCTGCTGTGTTTCGTATGGTGAGTGTAGAGAACCGGAGACCCTTTTTACTGGAAACGAGGCATTCCATCTTAGTCCTCACGGGTGAAAACGCATCTGCATTTTATTGTTTATTGAGGATAGATGCGGATGCCTATGGGTCACAGCAACCACTTACTATCAGGTGGACTGTGTGCTCGTTCGTCAACCTTATACTATAAAATAAAAATAAGAACTTTTAGCCTTGCCCCATAGTCGCATCTTACAACTTTACGACATCCGTGGGACGAAAATGGATGATGGTTTTGGCGTCACCAAATGACTTAATAAGTTTGGATTTTTTACTTCTTAATTCTCTAGAGATCCGCCGTTCGAAATATAATTTATTCTGTGATTTATTATTTTGTAACTGTTTTAACATGTACATACCTTTTTCTTAAACCTTCATGAGCCAGACTACGCAGTAAGTAGGCGCACCTTATTGAGTTCCAAGTCTTACGTTAAAATATTCTGTATTCAATTTAGTCTTCTTTCTCTATCCTTAACAGTTGTCCAATGGAAATGTACCTCTCCCGTAAGGAGTATTGATTTCTATTATTTAAAAAAAAAGGCAATAAAAAACTAAGTATTCGCAATAATCTTACGCTTGGCCGATTGATTGACAATCGCAATACCAAATCTAGACGTATTGCACCTTTGAAGTTGCTCTACGCTACGCCTGATGGTATTAGCGCCATCTATCGAAAGCCAAAAGAAATTACTGTCATTTACTATAGTCGCCTCATAAGACACCTACAAAACGTAATACAGCCATGGATATTCCGTCAAGCGTAAACGGCCGTGTCGTTGTCATAAAATTTATCTGTTTGAATTTGCCAGAAATATCTTATGGCGTTCGAAAGACGACGGTAATACATAACAAAAAATAAAAATGAATACAACAAGATGAACAAAGCGTGGAAATTGTATGCCCCATTACCGGCAAACGACGTCAACGCATTTTTCCGCGACGAACATCCAACTCCGATTTAATATTTTTAGTGATTAAATTACTAATAATAACACCTAAATTGTACTTATTAATTGTCTTCCAAACAGACAAATTGGAAGAAAAAGGTATAAAACCGATCGAGGATATTTTGGAGAAACTGGGACTTACCCCTAAGCCGCCAACAGAGGCTAGCGCCAACTTCTCGTGGGAATCGGTGACGGGGAAGGGAAGAAGGTTGCTGGGGCTGAACGTGCTACTCAGTGTACAGGTGGCCGAGGATGTCAGGAATACCAGCCGGAACCGTATCGTGGTGAGTGAACTCTTTTCAGAAAGAATAATTTTGAGTGTTAAATTTAATATGGTAATTTGTATGTAGTGGCAGTAATTGATAGCTATGCTGCAGCTATATTATGGTTGTATCAATATTTAGTTCGCTCGACCGGGTAAGGAACACGCTCTCACAGAGTACCAGCGCCTAAAATAGCAGCTTAATGCTGCTTTGTTTCATATGGTGAGAGTAGAGAACGGGTGGTCCTTCCTACTGGAAAGGAGGCATCTTAGTTCTCAGGGATAACAACTCATCTGCATTTTGATCCTTAATCGAGGATAGATGTAAATGTATATAAGCCACTGTATCCACTTACCATTATGTAGACCTTATGTCCGTTACTAAGTTTATCAAACATTTAGCTTTGTAGCACTTCTTAGGGAAGGTCTAAGTTCAGCAGCGGACTTGTGAAGAGCTATAATGATGATGTGCTCGTTGGGCATCCACATTCTTTAAAAAAACGAATTAATGTTTGTTCCAATGTTCGATCCTCGCATCGAATTTAGTATTTTGTAGATTGATTATTGGCGTGTTGCAATATTGATGAATAATTAAATGGTTAAACGAACTTAGCTTGAGTGAAGTTCAATCATAATTATACGAAGCACCTTGTCCGAGACGTGCTTTACAATATGTACATATTGTAAAGAACGTCTCGGACTAGGAGAGAGTATAATAATAAATATTCATCAATATTGTAATACGCATTTTATACGGCAGGGTTATTTTTCAAAGAGTAGCTAAATTTTAAACTTAAGTTCAAATATATACCTAATGATATAACGTTATTGCGGGTTTTAAAAATAGGAGTAAACAAGGCTTCTAATTTTATTTGAAATTATCCCAAAATGAATGTGATTTATGGATATTGCCTACCGATCGACCGTTACATAATGTGTGCGTGCACAGTAAAATTTATTTTAGGTACTTACTATTATTTACTTTGTGGGAAAATCAGTTAAAATAACGCATTACCACGCATTTTGAATTTAAAATCTAAAAAGGACAGAATTATTGAGATTCCTTTTTATTATTTATTCTTCACCAATTGCCTATATTACTTATTCTGAACCTTGTCTGCAAATTTGGCCGGTTATTACAAAATAACCCTGTATAGAAATGAAACCGGACGACCGCGCTGTGTACGGAATCGTTTACTGCAATTGATTGGAATCATTCTCGTTCGTAATGTAAAAGTATTATCGTATTAGTTATAGATAGAAAGCAACTGTTAGCGTTAACACTATGTTCGAGTGCATGCTCTTACAATTTGTGTAAATGAATGTCACAGTGTAGTGGCGGTGTAAGAATATTCACTACTTCATATCGTCCCGTGGCTGTGGTAAGAGGCGGCAGAGGGAAAAAGCCAGATGCCATCAGCGTGTTCCTGATAATAACTAAAAAATAAAAAACTGCGACTAAAAATATCCCTCCTATGAAAAAATCTACGTTTAAATACTGATTTTGTTAACGCACTTAACGGGAACTACAGGGTTTTCGTTTCATGTTGTATATTCATATAAAATTCGTTTTTATATACATGCTGTCCAGTATTCTCCGCTAACTGTATATGTAACTACATAATATTAAATAGGTATTGGAAGGATTCTTAGTCTTAGAGAAATGTCTGGAGTATGTTTGAGGCTTTAGGTGTACGGTTGTTAGAACCATCACGTGTATTTGTCAGAAGTAATTACCTCTTTAGTCTAGTGTGGTCACGCAGGTGATTTCTGATCATGAAGTCTCGGATACGAATCTCGAGTCGGGCCAAAACCAGTTATTGGATTTCTGTCAAGCGATTCCCACTAGCAGCCTGGAGGTAGGAAGTTGGCGGTGATTCACCCCCATGCCTCGGAAGGCACGTAAAGCCGTTGGTTCTGCGTCCGATCCGGTCGTGTCGTATTGTCGTCGCATCAAAATATGAGATTGAGGGAATAAATAGTTCACCTATGCTTGCACACACTCTCGTGCACTATAATCCCGACCTGCGCAGATAGCTGGTCTCCATTGAGACCGGCCTCTGTGGCCGAAATTCGGTCTGGAGGACATTATTACACCCAGACCGTCGAGGGGTATTAGCGTTAAAAATGCGAGACGTCTACTACTGCTATTGTCGATCCACTTGCCAAGAAACCTTCATACAAAGTTCCTATACAGTCCACCTGATGGCAAGTAAATGCTGTAACTGACAGACACCTACATCTAACCATGAATAAGAATGTTCTTTGCATGCAAGTAAGCTTGGCACATTGAAAACATTTTTTATAGCAAAAGGATAAAAAGCGAGCACACAGCCCACCTGATGGTAAGTGGATGTTAGGCCCATATACATCTACATCTATCCTCGATTAAGAATCAAAATGCAGATGCGTTGACACCCCTGAGAACTAAGATGGAATGTCTCGTTTCCAGTAAAAAGGGTCTCCGGTACTCTACACTCACCATACAAACACAGCAGCATTAATCTGCTATTTTACGCTTGATATTCTGTGAGAGCATGGTACTTCCCCGGTCGAGCTGACCCATTCGTGCTACAACCGTAATATCTGCAGTGTGGCTCTACCACGTGAAAAAATTATATTCCTATTCGGTAATAACATATTTTTTCTACATCAGTCACTGCTGGACATGGGCCCCTTCCAATGAAGGTTTGCCCTAATTATCACGCTTGGCAGGCGGAATGACGATCGCAGTATACTCGTATGTTATATATAATTATATTTAATATAATATATATACGAGGGCTGCACTAAAAGTATCGGGAATGGAATATTTCCACTGTTCCGGTCATATTAAAATCTATTTAATTGAAAACTCCTTGGTTTTAAAAATCGAATACCATTTATTTATTTAAAAAAAGATTCTCGGTCTTGTCACAAGGTTTTGTCAAACTTGTTTAGTCGTTGAGAAAATGGAATTGACTCGAGAAAATTCAAGAGCGATGATTTATTATGACTTTCGAAGTGGTTTAACACAAAAACAGTGTGTTGACCGGATGATTTCTGCATTTGGTGATGAAGCCCCATCCAAAACCACAATTTATCGCTGGTTTGCTGAATTTCAACGTGGACGTGTCAAGCTCAGTGATGATCCCCGTCAAGGTCGTCCAAAAACTGCAGTCACCCAAGAAAACGTTGATGCTGTGCGTAAGCTGATTGAGGAAGATCGACATGTGACATACCGCGAAATTCAGGCAACTTTAGACATTGGCATGAGTCAAATACAAATAATCTTGGATGAACCATTAGGTGTAAAAATGTTGTTTTCCCAATGGATACCGCATTCGCTCTGTGAAGAGCAAAAAGCGGCTCGCGTTACTTGGTGCGTCAGAACTCTCGAAAGATTCCACGCAGAATCCTCAAATGCTGTATACAACATCGTATCAGGTGACGAATCCTGGATATACGCGTACGAACCCGAAACAAAAAACCAGTCACGAGTTTGGGTGTTCGAAAATGAGTTAAAGCCAACAAAAATTGTTCGCTCACGGAGTGTTGCAAAAAATGGTGGCCACGTTTGACTCCAAAACCGGTCATGTTACGACTATTCCTCTTGAGGGACAAAGAACGGTAAATGCAGAATGGTATGCTAGAATTTGTTTGCCACAGGTCGTTTCTGAACTCCGTAAAGAGAACTGCAACCGCCGCATCATCCTCCATCACGACAATTCGAGTTCTGCGCTGTTGTCGAGAAATCAGAAATCACCATCACATCGCTAGTTATATGTATATTTTTACGTCTGGACTAAACGAGATAGTTATACCGCCATCTAACAGAAGCCTTAAGCTGTATTTGCAATAAGATGGCATGTCCCATAGAATTGTATAGATCAATTTTTATTAATTACTAGCTGGTACACGGCGCGTTGCAGCCGCAGAAGAAATAATTGTGGAAATATTGTTTTAAATTTGAAAGAGGTGTACGAGTATAGGTTAATTAGGAATGATAACACATTAATTGCAATTGAATGACATATAACTTTCAACAATAGCTCCGTAATAAATATTTTTTTAAAAATACAATTAGTACGTAAATTTAAGTATTATATCACTTATAATAGGTATTATTCAAATTACTAGTTCATAAAAATAGTAACCGTTTAAGGCCGGCCACATACATACGGAATTCCGTTTCGAGATTCCGTTTCGATATTCCGATTCGGGATTCCGAACGCAGCAAGTCCATATAAAATCTATGACCCGCCACACACATACGTTATTTTTCCGTACGGAATTTCTCCGATTCGAGATTCCGTATGATCGTCTGTGCGTTCGGGATCCCGAATGGAAAAAAGCCGCTCCGAACGCACGTCTTCCATAGATTTTGTACGAGTCGCAACACACTTACGTAAATTCCGTACGGAATGCGCTCAGTGTTCGTCCCACGACCGAAGCGAGTAGGTGTGTTTATGTATGTTTTTAAATTTAATCTTGTAGGTGTATAGCTTTTCGTAACCTTTCATCTTATTTTATTTAATAATTCGTCGATAGAATTTACATACATAAATATTTAAAAAATATCTCTGGATAGATAGATCTTTTTACATAGTATTGACTATATTGCAAGCTTAGGGTGATAAGGGGATGCACCTAGTAAGAATGATACAGCAATAATGGAATTTGCAATTAGAAAATCGTCGTCATTATTCGCTGGCAGAATGTCTAGACTCAATGGCTAACTTCTCTCAACTGACCCTTGTTATTCCGAACGGAAAAAAACGTGTGTATGTGATGTATTCACGGAATTCCGTTTCGAGATTCCGTTTCGGAATTTCGAACGGTCGGCCACACACAAACGGAATCCCGTTTTGCCCGCAAAATATCGAACGGAAAACTACCGTACGTGTGTGGCGGGTCATAGATTTTATATGGACTTGCTGCGTTCGGAATCCCGAATCGGAATATCGAAACGGAATCTCGAAACGGAATTCCGTATGTATGTGGCCGGCCTTAGTGCCGAAAACCGTGGAAACATAAAATAAGATTATATGTTTATAACAAACAAAAGGTTGATTATAAGTGAAAGAAGCTGTAAAGAAGAAGAAGAAAGCATGGTTAGACTACTTGGCCTCTAGTAATGATAAGGATATGAGAGAAAAGATGAAAGAAAAATATATAGTTTGCAGAAAGTTCACACGAAAGCATTGATTGAGGAAGTGCGTGAAAGGTGTAGAATGGAAGCGGACGAAAGGTTGTCGCACAACTTTAAGGAGAACTCCAAACTCTTCTGGAAAGAGGTTGGAAGGACCCGAAGTGGTGCGACGGCCTTAAGAATGAACAAAGTGCTTTCGAGAACTAATGACGTCCTTTCAGAAAAATCGGACGTCATGCAGCGATAGAGCGAATTTTATAGAGAAATGTATGCGTGTGATGATCTTAGTGGGGGATCCGGGGATGACGCCGTGACTGGTACGCCAGACCCGGACCTCGATGACACTGAGGTCATCAGTATGAAAGAGATTGAACGTGCGATTCGAAGTTTGAAATGTGGTAAGGCTGCGGGACTAGACAGAGTTACTGCTGAAATGGTCAAGTATGGTGGGCCTCGCGTCTGGGACAGCTTTCATCTGCTGTGCAATTTGTGCTGGCGGACGGGGGATGTCCCGGATGATTGGCGATCCGCAGTCATTGTGCCTTTATATAAAGGTAAAGGTTCACATTTTGACTGCGGGTACTATCGGGCGATCAGCTTGACCAGTTTAGCAAGTAAAGTTTACTCGAAGGTTTTGACACGTAGGATGCAAGAGAAATCGGAAAGATTTCTATGGGAGGCACAATGCGGATTTAGACCTGGAAGAGGATGCACGGATCAAATGTTTTCTCTTCGCATGATCACGGAAAAGCTTCTGGCTGCTAACCAGAAGATTTTCTGTGCTTTTGTGGATCTTGAGAAAGCATTTGATAAGGTTGTAAGGAAGAAAATGTGGGAACTGTTGCCGGGGTATGGTGTGGATGGTCGATTGCTAAGGGCTGTGCAGTCTCTTTACTGTGACTGTAAAGCCTGTGTGCGGGTAGGGCATGACCTGTCACCCATGTTTAGCGTCCAAACGGGCGTAAAACAGGGTTGTGTCATGTCTTCCTGGCTGTTTATACTGTATCTCGACAGCTGTTTACAAAAGCTGAAAGATAGCTGTTTGGGTGTGAAATTGGGTGACATTAAAGTAAATTGTCTGCTGTATGCTGATGATGCAGTGCTTATTGCACCATCAGAGGCAGAACTGCAGGCATTAGTCACGTGTATGAAAGAGGAATGTGAAATTAAAGGTCTCCGTTTGAACGCTAATAAAACTAAGGTTCTGGTATTTGAAAGGGACGAAGAGAGAACGAAGTGTGAAATATGGGTAAATCAGGAATGTCTAGAACAAGTAAATGAAATTGTATACTTGGGGAGTGCTTTTAGCCGGGATGGAAGATGTGATTTAGATGTGGACAGGCGTGTCGCTGCCGGGAACAAAGTCAATGGTGCCCTGACTGCGTTAGTCAAAAGGCAAGGTGTGGTGAAGAGTGCACGCCTTGCAATACATAACGCAGTGTTGGTACCGACTTTGTTATATGGCAGCGAAACCTGGGTATGCCAGAAGAAGCATAAAAGCAAGTTGAATGCAGTGGAGATGCGATCTCTTCGTAAAATGTGCGGCGTTACCATGGCCGACCGAAAGCGAAACGAAGAGATTCGCAATATGGCAGGTTTGAAAGATGACCTTATCACGAAAATTGATAAGGGCGTGCTTCGGTGGTTTGGGCACGTTGAGCGAATGAGTGAAGACCGAATGGTGAAGAAAATATATAGCGCGAAAGTTAATATTAAAAGGTGTCGAGGTAGACCGAAACTAACTTTCGAAGACCATGTGAGCAAATTGCTCGAAGATAATGAATCTGAAAGAAGCGAAAGAGGTATGTAAGGATCGTGACACTTGGCGATCTGTCCTCTCTGGCTACCCCGTCAGGGATTGTGCGTGAAGATAAAAAAAAGGTTGATTATGTGTTGATAAAAAAGATTTTGCGTAATTTACTGTGGTAAAATATTAGTGCCAAGTTCCATAACTACTCAGAAGATGGCACAGATATTATCATGCGAAAAATGCAAAAATATGTTTTCAAGAACAGAATTTCAAAACCGCATGTAAATGCAATAAATAAATAAGTTAATTGTACTATGCCTATAACTTTCCCGCAAGTACAAGCAATAAGTTTTACCGCATCTGATGAGTGTTATGGCAGCGCATAAAATACCAACAAACAAACATACATTGTTATATATTAATGTTGCCCGCCACTATTAATGTCTTGCACATGGCAATACTAGTTACCACTAGCGCCCTCTAGTATCGAGTAGCAGAACTAGGAGAGTCAAGATCCTTCTAGAAATATCGGGATCGATATGTACTCGAACATTCTAGATGTTTCTATAGTAGAAGGTTCTGGAAACTACCTGAGACCCTATATATCCCGTACCGCGACAGAGACAGTATTGAATTGGCGATACAAGCGAATACTTCGAAGCGATATAACTGCGAGCTAAAGAGTTTTATTATTAGTGTGCTTTTAAGTTGTAATTAGAGTTCTGTAATTAAAGTGTCAATTTTGGTGATTCAATCGGCAGTTTTTAATTGTCTCGAACCCCAAGCTCGTAACATTAATAAGATAAGAAGAATTACATATTAAAGTCATTTATCTTATTCGGAGTAGAGCTGCACGCTGCAGCTATATTGCGGTTGTAGCACGAATGGGTTGGCTCAACCGGAGTAGGACCACGCTCTCACAGAATACCAGCGTAGAATAGCAACTTAGTGCTCCTGTATTTCGTGTGGTGAGTGTAGCTACCCGGAGACTCTTTTTACTAGAAACGAGACATTGCATCTCAGTCCTCAGTGGTGACAATACATCTGCATTTTGATTCTTAATTGAGGATAAATGTGTCTATAGTCCACAGCATCCACTTACCATTAGGTGGAATGTGTGTTCGTTTGTCGCCCTTATTCTATAAAAAAGAAAAAATTACCACTAGTTCGGAAAACACCTCTGTCCTGGAAAGAAGCAGCAGGATACTCAACAGGATGATTGATGAGGTATGGTATTGCCTCTTATGACTTAGCGGCACGAAAGTCTAGCGGTGACCGTTATTGCGCATAAGACGCGCTGATTGGCTTATTGTGCATAAATTGCGCTGATTGGCTCGTGCGTATCGTTCGCACGCACTGATTGGCTCTCCAGTCGTATTCGTGCAATTCAATTCGTCCCCTTCAAGTTTCGTTCAGCGGCAGACACTTACTTGCCGCGACTTGTATGAACCCTTTCGTAATAGATTATCTTACATTCCCACCACACACTTATAAGGATTCACATTGGGGTTTACCATTAACAAAAAACAATTATAGTAAACCATTATATTCAGGTAGAACAAGTGTCCCCTGGATTCAGCGAGCGGTACCTACTGAAGCCAGAGCAGTTCGGGCACGAGCTGGCGCAGTACCACAAATACATCCGCGAGGTGGTCGCCATCGCAGACCCTGACACGGACGCAGACGCCTTCGCTGACGACATCATCAGCTTCAGCAAAAGTCTGGCTAAGGTATGTGATCATGTGGCCATCTTGGTACTAAGCAACTCAAGGTTGTGCCGATTCTGTTCCAGCTCTGTACTCATTGTAGGCTCGTAATACGCACACGTAACACTCATCTGGGAAACTACGTTCTTGGCGAAGAAGAAGCGAAAATGCTCACAGCTAGGCAACTCCTTCAATTCATTAAAGATATAGGGCTTAGAAGTGATATAATGTAGCCATAGCAGCGATCACATTAGAACTGGTCACAGTGATACTGGTCATTAGAGTATATACCCGCTCGAAGAAATAAAGGTAGGTATGTGATGAAAAATTTCGTATACGTATATTCTATGTCTCTTAATACGTTACAATTTTTTTTAACTAAAAGCCATCTTCTTCTTTCCTCTTTAAGAAACAACAATACGCCTACTTTTTTTCTGTAGAGGATCTGTTTTCTTCTTCTTTTTCAGTACATAAAATTCACTGCCGAACATGGCCCTCTCCCGTTGTAGGGATTATTCGCCTTAATGATCCACGACTTTTTCTGCCACTAGAACTGCGCTACTTAGGAATAAAGTGATATATTTGACAGATTTCATAGCGGGAAAAGTTAATTTGTTAGAACATTGTAGAAAATTGTTTCCTTCTGAAATATTAGTTATATTTTATATTAATTAGATTAGAAATGGATAAACCAAACTGCGAGTATTTCTGAAAGTAGAAAAAAAAATGTGTAAGAATACACCACATAGAGGCATTGTTTTGTGTATATATTATGGACCGAGTAATTAACAGGGCATTATTAATAATGCCCGGGCAATATGAATAATGCCCTATTAATCAACATAACATATACACTAGAAACCAAAAAAAAGTTATTTTAAGCACAACTTTTCAATTATGGTGTATATATATAAGTTCACCTCGGTTGCAACTAGCGACATCTGGTGAGCGTAAGTTGTTAAAGAATAATATGCACATGATCATCGCGCTTTGTTCAGATAATGACTCCTATGGAAGTGAGAAGGAGCGGGACACATCTGTTCCACGAGGTGAGCGTGTCGCAACTCGTGCAGGGAACTGCTGGTGGCCCGGCTGAATGGAAAAAGGTAACTCAACTTGTTATCACTTTTTTTTAGTATTGTTCACAACTGGAATTGTGGGTAAAATAGCACACCTTACCTGATACGGGTGAATGCGGTTCGATGGTATATGGCCCATCTGAAAAGAAATTAATTTAAAGAGCGTAATTATAATTAAAATCCTACTAACACTAACACTAAAAGTTTATAATGTAATGTATATTCCCATATTTTGAATATGTGATACCAATCAAGTTTTTTCTTTCTTTTTTATTGTTAGGAGCCTAATGGTGATTCCACTAATTATTAATAACATTACTTTGTGTATGCTTGACATCCCAGCATTTTGTATAAAAGAACTAAGTACCTAGCTTTTAAGTTCATGTGTTATAATGTACTAAAAGTTGCAAGCATGTGTTAGAAATTACTCCCGAAATTATTTAAATAATTTGACTACCTATTGATAAATTCAATTGTGCATGCCTTAAGCGCATGAAAAAAATTACATATAACATGATTATACATAAATTTTTAAATAAATTAGTTAAATTACACACAAGATTTCACTCAAATTATATTTAATATATTATCTACTAAAAATTTTCCGATAATTTTATGTCAAATTTCAATTTAAAAAAAGCTTGGAAAATTCAATAGCGCGCGACTCATAATACGCTCTCATAGGATCGTGAAAAAATTAAATAAAAGTGTAAAGAATTCCAGTAGCAGTCACCGAAGTACACCTTTAAGTCACTCTATAAGTCGGGAGGTAAGATCTATTCATAACTAACAAAACGAGCCAAAACTCGGAACACCTAGTTCTACTCTTCGAGGAGTTCCTATAGCATTCACCGAAGTACACCTCCAGGTCACTCTATCAACTCCGGAGGTAAGGTCTTATCATAACTAACAAAATGAGGCCAAACACGGCACACCTAGTTATACTCTTTGAGAAGTTCCAGTAGCATTCACCGAAGTACACCTTCAGGTCACTCTTATTAAGTCCGAAGGTAAGGTCTTATCATAACTAACAAAACGAGGCCTATATCTTTCTGACAATGTACTTTTAGCGAAACAAAATATTGTAATAAAAATCTGTGATTATAAAAATTATAACCTTGGTCAAGTATTAATTTGGTTTTGGAATATTTTGTATTCCTAGATCCTAGCGGTCGATATTTTTGCTGCCTGTTACCGCTGCTGTAAGCAAACGTCCACTCACGACGGCGGCCGAGGCCAGAGTGCGAATAAAGCAAAGTGTATTTAGTAAAATAAATCATAACAAGACTGCTCAAAACACCGCAAAAATTTGGCATTTTTTAGCCGAAAAAAATTAATTAAAAAATTATAACTAAACAAAACAAAATTAAGCTGCCATTTATACTCTATGGCTTCCCACATGATAGATGAAGAGACTAAAAAATAGATTGAGTTAAACAATTGATATTTTCAAAAGTACTTGAGTAGGTTTACACCATAAGCCACTAAAACCACTTTTTTAATGTAAAAATAGCGATTAATCGATTTTTTTTTAAATAAGTTCAACCATCATTTATCTTTCTGAAAATGTGCTTTTTATATTATTTTTATCTATACATATAATAAAAATGTAAAAAGCAGACGTCTGTACATTTTATATTTTTGTAATAAAAGTGATTGAGAGGTACTAAAAATAAGTAACTAAATACATTTCTACCATTTTTAGAATTTTCTGTCTGTCTGTCTGTCTGTCTGTCTGTCTGTTTGTTTGTTAACGTATCACGTATAAAGTACTAATTTATATCATAAGAATCATTAAGGAAAATATAAAGTGTATCTTCGGGTTACATTTAGTCTTTATTTTATTAAAATCAGTTCATTCAATCAAAAGTTATGATAAATATTCTGAAGTATGAATACGAAGTATAGGTACGAATTTGTTCAACGGTGGCGTTGGTTGAGTCATCGTGCGCATTTTAAACTAATACTACTTATATCATAAATCATAATTAAATTAGGTAAAATAATGTTCTTTAATGATATAATTATATCTAAAACGCAGTAAACAAAAGTATTAAAGAACGTATTAAATAAAATAATATACAAAAATATATTATAACCTTATTAACTAAATCTAAAGTGAAATAGTTAACCAATTTCATCGATAGATGGCGGTATGGTCAAAATGTAATATAATAAGGCGTTTTGCTTACTATGCAGACATTGGTTTGTAAGTTCTTTTATGTTTTATATATATAATAATGTACCAATCGCGTCAATTAATCTCTTTTATTTTTAGAATTGATACTATAATAAAAATGGTGATAACATGTTGTGTCTGTTTTCGTACATTGCATAGAATATTTGTCACTAAAATCATTATAGGGTAATGAAAATAATTAAGTAAACACATTTTTATAATTTTTAGAATTTTCTGTCTATCTGTCTGTTTGTTTATAAACGCATCACATCTAAAGTAAACATTTTTTTAAAAGAAATCGTTAAGAAAATCATAAAGCCTATCTTTAAGTTACATTTAATTTTTGTTTTATTAAATTTGGTTAATTCTATCGAAAGTTATGATTATTAATTTAAAATGTAGGTTCTAATTTGTTCAATGGCGCCATAAACTCTCAGAAAAAGTAATAAAAAGATTTGTGTGTAAAAAACGTTCTATAATAATATATTTATACTTAAAACAAAGTAAACAATAAAAAATATGTTTTCCTTAAATTAAAAAAAGTTTTCTCACAACGAACGTAATAGATGGCACTGTACAAATTACATTCTTTTCTGAATTGTGGCGTTAAGATACTCCGAATCGTATTGAGACTCACTGACGTGCAGTCACAGTCTCACAAATAACCATACATGACCCAGAACCAATGTAGATATTATATATTTTCAATTTCATTTTCAACTTAATAAATTAAATAAAATAGTCAATTTATTTTGTATCAGACAGATTATAATGAACATACTAATATCCGAAATCACAACTTCCCACAACTCAACAGCAAACTCATATCCCAACTTCAAAGGATGCTACATGAAATAAATCCATACGTTCATAGTTTTAGGGTTGCATTGCAATCGATCCGTCAAGATTTAATAAACAATAATAAAATAGTTATTAACGCTGACAGACGTCCTGTTACTTAAAAAAAAAAGTTACTGAACACCGCGGTAGCAACGTTCCTGTCACTGATGAAGTGGCAGTGGTATTAATTGACCAGGAGTGCGATAGACGTGACATCGTGTTGCACACACATGACGATCGACTGCCAGGGATTTTTGAAACGCATCGATATTATGATGCTCTACAATATCCATTAATATATTGTCACGGTGAAAATGGGTACAATTTCGGAATTTATCAAGTTAATCCTAATACCAGAGAGACCAATTTTAATAAAAAAATATTTGCTCTGCAATTTTATTCGCACCTGTTACATGTAAGGCATATATCTTCCTGCGTATCTGCAAAGATTTCGGGAGTTGTTTTACCAATTTATAGTGGACATGTATGCGAAAATAAAGACAGAGCGCTTAGTGTATATACGCACTAACCAGAGACGTCTGTTACACTGACGTCTAATAAGTGATATTGATACAGTAATGATATAAATCGTTTAATATTTTCTTACCTGAATGTCAAATTCTCCAAGTAAAACCTATATACGCGAGCTACGCCGCGGGCACAGCTAGTGTTCAATATGATTGTTAGATACGATTTCATGCGACAAAACGTTGAAATCTTGATTTTTAGGTGCTAATAGAACATACCTACGCGCTTTGCGCTTAATGCATGCAATAAAAAGGATATTCCTCAATATGGACTCTTACTCTACTCTCTCTACTTCTCTACTTACTCTCTCTCAATATAAACATTGAACTGAACTGAACTGAACACTGTTAAGTAAATACAAAATTAAAAGTTTTTAGAACTGGCCACTTGTAAACGATATAATAAAAAAATAAGTTCAAATTTTGAAAATCGAACTCTTTGCCAATATTATTGTGTATGTATTTTATTAATTTGTCATTTGTTTACGATTAGGCTGCAAATTGAAAATTATCTGTGTCACGTCGGCATGAATTTAACGCGAGAAAATTTTCGTACAATGATTTTTTATGACTTTCGATGACATTTAAGTCAACAAGAAAGTTATGATAGACTTCGATTGGCCTTTCACGATGAAGCCCCATCTTGTGCCACTGTTTACAACTATTTAATGAGTTTAATCGTAGTCGCACTAATCTCACCGATGATCTGCGTGTGGGACGGCCTTCTATGGCGACGACTGAAGATAACATCAGTGTTGTGAGGCGTATGATAGAGACTGACAAAAGAGTGACTTATCAGCAGATTCGGACAAGTTTAGGCATTGGTATGAGTCAAGTGCACAAAATCCTGCTTGAACATTTAGCGGTCAGAAAGCTTTGTGCCCAGGGGATACCCCATAATTCGACAGAGGCCCAAAAACTCCGTCGTGTTGTTTGGTGTCGTGAAATGGTTCAAAAATTTAACGGAGGTGACTCAAATGCTGTGTTTGACATACTTACGGGTGACGAAAGCTGGATTTATTGTTATGATCCTGAAAGTAAGAGACTGTCTGCTGTCTGGGTGTTTCCTTCCGAGGAGTTGCCAACTAAAGCGAAGAAAGGTCAAAGCGTGAGAAAAAAGATTGTGGCCTCGTTTTTCAGAAAGACAGGTCATTACGCAACAATTGTTTTAGAGGATCAAAAACCGTTACTGCAGATTGGTACACTAAAAATTGTTTGCCACTTGTCTTGGAAAAGGTTCGGGAGAAACGACCTCGCAGTACTATCCTCCTTCACCACGACAACGCTTCGTCGCACACCGCCAAGCAAACAATCGACCACTTGGCGACGTGAGACGTAGAATTACTGGGTTACCCGCCCTATAGCTCTGACGTAGCACCTTACGACTTTAATTTATTCCCGAAAATAAAAGAAAAACTTCGAGGAAAACGTTTTTGTGGACGCCGAGGAAGCAGGGGCTGCGGTTCAAAATGCGGTCGAAGAGACCCCTAAGGACGAGTGGTTAAAGTGCTTTTCTCAGTGGTTCCATCGGATGCGGCGATGTATTGATGTAAATGGACACATTTTTGAAAAGATATAATAAATCTAATAACTTGCTAGTTTGTTCAGTTTTTGATTTTCTAAGCACTTTCAGTGTCACCTTCGTACTATATGCAAACCAACAGCAACACCAACTTACATAATATATAGTTGATTACTTCTCCCTGCTGTGCTGCTACATGAGCTGCTGCCTACAGTACTACAGTACAGTGATTACATTACTTTTGTAAATTAGTGGCAGCCAACCAAAAGACATTCGGTAGGTAGTCAGTACAACAACTGAAAGAAACTAACTTAACAACTACTTAAAAACACTATGCATTAATACTTGAATAGTCAATACGCTTTCTTTTAAAAATATGAAATCTACATTTATACGTGTTATATTTGTATATACATATACAATTCTAATACATGTGTATAATATATATTTATAGTTCTATTACATGCAATTACATGTATATATCTGTGCACTGTTGTGTAAACATTATATTTTTACACAACAAATTTAATTTTATACGTGGTAGAGCCATGTTGCAGCTATATTAGTAGTATAGTTGTAGTATGAATGGGTCGGCTCGACCGGGGAAGGACCACGCTCTCACAGAATACCAGCGTCAACTAGCAGGTTAACACTGCTGTGTTTCGTATGGTGAGTGTAGAGAACCGGAGACCCTTTTTACTGGAAACGAGGCATTCCATCTTAGTCCTCAACGGTGACGACGCATCTGTATTTTGATTTGTAATCGAGGATAGATGTAGATGTATATGGGCCCCAGCAACCACTTACCATCAGGTGGACTGTTTGCTCACTTGTTACCCTTATCTTATTAAAAAAAACAATCACATCTCTACAAAAACAGATGCGTTGAAGATACGAGTGTTTTTATTAGCATTAGATATTACTACCATCATCAATAGCCACCTCTGGACGTAGGAATATACAAGAATGCGCCAACTCCCTATCTCATACATTAATGCAGTGGGGGAACATACCTTGTACCTTCGATTACAAAATTTTGAAAACTTTGCTTTTATAATGAAGTTTCCAACTATGCTAGGGAGACTTTTTATTTTACAATTGGGAAGAATTCCTTATGATAAAAGTATTCTTCTCTATCCAAGTAGGCTTTGTTTTAATTCTACGATCTGAATCCAAATTGAATAATTTCTAAAGATTTCAGGTATTCAGTTAAGATTGACAAACTCAAGATCTGACATACCTACATGTTTAATAGGCGGTAGAAGTTTTCTGTCTAGGGGTCCGTCTTGGTAGGTACTACCTTCTCACTTACATATGTATACCGCCAAATAGCAGTAATATTAATATTAAAATTATGTATATTGATCCTTAGAGATGATAACGGATTTGTAGCCTTGTTATTTGTAGTTTTAAGACAAACTTAAATAAATAAATATAAATATCAGATCTTTATCTATGAAACAAATTTTTTTAAATACTTTTGGCTGACGAAAGAAAAGGGGAGATCAGCCCGGGGAGTGGCCACATATATATAACGGTGTAGCTCGGAAGATTAAATAGTGTGATTCAGGCTTCGGGTCGATTTTACGCATGTATATATATAATTATGAAAATTATACTTAAAATGTTGCAGACACTGACACATTTCTATTTACATTGCAGCACGACTGGGATCTATATCTACGGTTGGTGTTCGCTAACACCAGCGTGGTGCTGCAGCCGGATAGCGACCGCATTATCGTCATGGACCTGCCCTATCTGCAGAAGTTAGCGGTCCTGCTCAACGACACCAAGCCCGTCATTGTTGGTGCGTGCTCGAAATTATTTATTTATCTTTAATTATCTAGATGCGAAAAACCCGCTGTGAAAAATACTAGAACATATCAAAAAACGAATTAAAAAAGGCGCTGTTATTTGTAACATAAAAATATTAAATGTAACGCTTGAAATCCATTTTCTCTAGTAATACGCCAAATTTACTCGTGCAAATAATAACCAAAAACACGTCAGATGATTTTGCGATTTTCGTATTTAATTTTATTCTTAAATGTTTTATAATATCATAATTTTAGATTTACCGTTAACATGTTTCAATTCTGATGTATTGGATGATTAACATTGTTCAGATCTGATGCATTGTATTTACTAGTACGATTGCCATCGTGTAGATCTGATGTATTGGATTCAGTTGTAGGATTCCCATCGTTCAGATCTGATGCATTGCATTCACTAGTACGATTGCCATCGTTTAGATCTGATGTATTGGATTCAGTTGTAGGATTCCCATCGTTCAGATCTGATGCATTGCATTCACTAGTACGATTGCCATCGTTTAGATCTGATGTATTGGATTTAGTCGTAGGATTCCCATAGTTCAGATCTGATGTATTGGATTCAGTTGTATGATTCCCAGCGTTCATTCACTTGTATGGTATAGATATGATGCATTGGATTTAGTTGTACGATTTTCATTGTTCTGATCTGAAGCATTGGATTCGATTGTATGATTCCCATTGTTCAGATCTGATGCAATGCATTCACTACTACGATTCCCATGGGTCAGATCTGATGTATTGAATGCATTATATGATCAGAAATAGGAGTGTTTGTTACTAGCCCTTTGTTGCCAACCCGCTTGCCAAGCGTGGCAACTACGGCAAATATCCTTCTTATGAAGCAATCTATAAGGAAGGTCAATGTAAAAAACCAGCGCTTCATGGGATCTTAATCTTATGTAAATAGAAGCTGTTTGAAGCTATTTGTTCATTTATTTATGTTCAGCAGTGGACTTTCGGGCTGTAACGGTAACGTTAACGGTTATTAGTTCTAATTTGGATAGCGTGCCGTCCGCAGAACGGTTCGTGTGGTGGAGCGTGTTCTCGACGGTGGCGCCGATGACGCTGCGCTCGTTCCGCGCGCTCGGGTTCGAGTTCTCGCGCGCCGTGCTCGGGCTGCGGCAGCGCGCGCCGCGCTGGAAGTCGTGCGCCGCCAACGTCAACGCCAACTTCGGCCTCGCGCTCAGCTACGCCTACGTCAACCGCCACTTCGACCAACACTCCCGCCAGAAGGTATTCCCTTTTTAACCCGTGATGAAAACAAAGGGGGTATGTTTGGTGTGTCTGTGTATCTGTGAAACTAGATGAACTGATTTTGAATAAGTTTTTTTTTGTTGAAAGGTACTTTAATCAAGAGTGTTCTTAGCTATGCTACAAGAAAATCTGTCCAGCCGTTTGAAGATCACCAGCTCTTTTTGTTCAGGGATTTTGAAATTTATTAATTTTAGTTATTGTTATCGCTTTCATATAGTGTTACTTGCTGCCAACGTCAAAACCAGCTTCCAAGGTAGAACCACACTGCAGCTATATTATTTGTTTGTTTATAGCTCTCACAGAATACTAGTGTGAAATACCAGCTTATTGCTCCTGTGTTTCGTACGATGAGTGTAGTGTAGACCCTTTTTACTGGAAACGAGGCATTCATCATCTTAGTCATCAGCGGTAACAACGCATCATATTGGTTTTTAATCGAAGATAAATGTCAATGTCTATAGGCTAGAGCATTCATTTACCATCAGCTGGACTCTGTGCTCGTTCGTCACCATTATCCTATAAAATCAATTTTTATTGCTTTACAGCTCATAATTATTCCGGTCTTTTATATTCTTCAGACTGCACATTATAGTGTATGAAGTGGTATTACGCAGTAGAAATAGAAATAGGTGAAAGAGTTGTACTTACATAGACGGACTCAAAACGCCTAGAGGAGAGGTGCGTTAGGAGGCTTGTGTCCATTCGTGGAATGAACACAAGTCTCCTAGTTAGTAGTCTCTAGTTTTTTTTTATAGAATAAGGGTGACAAACGAGCACATAGTTTCACAGACCATGTTACGGCCTACGGCTGCTCCCTTAAAGGGTCAAATCCTCTGGGGCCCATGAGCAGAAGACTTCACGAGCAGACGTAGGTCGGGCCTCAATGTGGCCACGTGGAATTTCTCTAATTACACTAAACTATATGGGGGAGCGTTCTATACTACGGCCAGTCGACAGCGAGGATATTAGACGGAACTTACTTACCTATATCCAAGGCGACTGGTCCCTCCGGAGTCGGTCATGTCGTATGTGGTTGTGTAGTGCAAGGGAAATAAGGTGATGTGATGTGTATCTGGGTGTGACTGATGGTGATTGACCCTAGACCTTGGCCGTCGGCAGCAGTCCGGGCGTCGACACCGCTCCAAATTGAGGGAACCTTCCGCGGCGTTGTCCACAGTCACTTTCCTCGTTCGTCACGATGACAGTCAATTAACTCTATCGCACGATTAACTAACTTACAGAAGCCACTAACTCTCGTTGGGTATAAGGTTAACGCACAAAACGCACACGGAGTTTCCGGATCAAAGGTCACTACCGTTTCGCGTAGCAACAGTTATTTCTAGAATATTAAAGACCGCACTAGCTAATATTGCCGAATGCACTTATGCAGATTCTGAGTCAGACACAATGAGTCCCTGGGAAGCTCTCCAGCAGGAATGCGCGTCACAATGGTAGACCGTATATTTACTGGCCGCACCTAATTATTCCGAGGTCCCGACAAAAATGACAGCGTGCTGTTCCAAGCACAGCTGACAGACGACTGACTGCAGTTGTGCGTTTTACGCACGACCGAATGTCAAACCGGTATGACACCGAGCCGCGCGCCCTCTCGACGTCGATTCCGACAACAGCGTTTGGCGCGAACAGACCATATTTACATCGTAGAAATCTATGTTTCTTCTCGATTAAGAATCAAAATGTAGATGTGTCACCTCTGAGAACTAAACAACTAAAAATGGTCTCCGGTTCTCTACACTAACCATACTCACACAGCAGCATTAAACTGGTATTTCACGGGTGGTATTCTGTGAGAGTGGTTTTACGCCGGTCGAGTCGAGTCATTTGTGCTCCAGCTGTAGCGTGATTCTACCAAGTACACAACTGCAGGCGATCGAGATGGTGGAGGACGTGCGCGCTGCGTTCGCGCAGGCGGTGGAGCGGCTGGACTGGATGGACGGCAGCACGCGGCGCCGCACGCTCGCCAAGCTGCGCGCCATCCGCAACTTCGTGGGCTTCCCCGCCTGGCTGCTCGACACGAGCAAGCTCGACCGCCACTACCGCCACGTGAGTATACCGCACACCGCGGTAGCACGGCCGGACTGGATGGACGGCAGCACGCGGCGCCGCACGCTCGCCAAGCTGCGCGCCATCCGCAACTTCGTGGGCTTCCCCGCCTGGCTGCTCGACACGAGCAAGCTCGACCGCCACTACCGCCACGTGAGTATACCGCACACCGCGGTAGCACGGCCGGACTGGATGGACGGCAGCACGCGGCGCCGCACGCTCGCCAAGCTGCGCGCCATCCGCAACTTCGTGGGCTTCCCCGCCTGGCTGCTCGACACGAGCAAGCTCGACCGCCACTACCGCCACGTGAGTATACCGCACACCGCGGTAGCACGGCCGGACTGGATGGACGGCAGCACGCGGCGCCGCACGCTCGCCAAGCTGCGCGCCATCCGCAACTTCGTGGGCTTCCCCGCCTGGCTGCTCGACACGAGCAAGCTCGACCGCCACTACCGCCACGTGAGTATACCGCACACCGCGGTAGCACGGCCGGACTGGATGGACGGCAGCACGCGGCGCCGCACGCTCGCCAAGCTGCGCGCCATCCGCAACTTCGTGGGCTTCCCCGCCTGGCTGCTCGACACGAGCAAGCTCGACCGCCACTACCGCCACGTGAGTATACCGCACACCGCGGTAGCACGGCCGGACTGGATGGACGGCAGCACGCGGCGCCGCACGCTCGCCAAGCTGCGCGCCATCCGCAACTTCGTGGGCTTCCCCGCCTGGCTGCTCGACACGAGCAAGCTCGACCGCCACTACCGCCACGTGAGTATACCGCACACCGCGGTAGCACGGCCGGACTGGATGGACGGCAGCACGCGGCGCCGCACGCTCGCCAAGCTGCGCGCCATCCGCAACTTCGTGGGCTTCCCCGCCTGGCTGCTCGACACGAGCAAGCTCGACCGCCACTACCGCCACGTGAGTATACCGCACACCGCGGTAGCACGGCCGGACTGGATGGACGGCAGCACGCGGCGCCGCACGCTCGCCAAGCTGCGCGCCATCCGCAACTTCGTGGGCTTCCCCGCCTGGCTGCTCGACACGAGCAAGCTCGACCGCCACTACCGCCACGTGAGTATACCGCACACCGCGGTAGCACGGCCGGACTGGATGGACGGCAGCACGCGGCGCCGCACGCTCGCCAAGCTGCGCGCCATCCGCAACTTCGTGGGCTTCCCCGCCTGGCTGCTCGACACGAGCAAGCTCGACCGCCACTACCGCCACGTGAGTATACCGCACACCGCGGTAGCACGGCCGGACTGGATGGACGGCAGCACGCGGCGCCGCACGCTCGCCAAGCTGCGCGCCATCCGCAACTTCGTGGGCTTCCCCGCCTGGCTGCTCGACACGAGCAAGCTCGACCGCCACTACCGCCACGTGAGTATACCGCACACCGCGGTAGCACGGCCGGACTGGATGGACGGCAGCACGCGGCGCCGCACGCTCGCCAAGCTGCGCGCCATCCGCAACTTCGTGGGCTTCCCCGCCTGGCTGCTCGACACGAGCAAGCTCGACCGCCACTACCGCCACGTGAGTATACCGCACACCGCGGTAGCACGGCCGGACTGGATGGACGGCAGCACGCGGCGCCGCACGCTCGCCAAGCTGCGCGCCATCCGCAACTTCGTGGGCTTCCCCGCCTGGCTGCTCGACACGAGCAAGCTCGACCGCCACTACCGCCACGTGAGTATACCGCACACCGCGGTAGCACGGCCGGACTGGATGGACGGCAGCACGCGGCGCCGCACGCTCGCCAAGCTGCGCGCCATCCGCAACTTCGTGGGCTTCCCCGCCTGGCTGCTCGACACGAGCAAGCTCGACCGCCACTACCGCCACGTGAGTATACCGCACACCGCGGTAGCACGGCCGGACTGGATGGACGGCAGCACGCGGCGCCGCACGCTCGCCAAGCTGCGCGCCATCCGCAACTTCGTGGGCTTCCCCGCCTGGCTGCTCGACACGAGCAAGCTCGACCGCCACTACCGCCACGTGAGTATACCGCATGCCGCGGTAGCACGGCCGGACTGGATGGACAATCTAACATTGATTTCGTTTAATGTGCCTAAGATAACGCTGGCATTATTTATGTTTACACTTTATCAACGTAATTTGAAGTTTATTTACATTAAGCACATTAAACAAGATCGAAAACAACGTGCGTTGGCCTTATGATCGGAGAATGCCGATCATGTGGCCCTGGGTTTGTACCCCTCGTACCAAATCAGTTACTAAATTCTCTGTCAAGAAATTCTCGATGGCGGAGTCAGAAAGTGGACGGTGTTATTCTATCGTAATTTCTCTCCTCATCTTATTGGATTGCCATCCCATCGGACTATGAGAGTGAGGAAATAGAGAGTGCATCAGTTGAACGTGCGCTCACACTCAACTTTCGGAATGTTTATTTACTTTATTTACCATCCCTTACCATTACAGCCTATTAAAAATTCACCGCTAAACATAGGCTTATATGCTGAGCATAGATTGCTTCTCAAGACGAATATTTGCCATAGTTGCCATTGCGTAATTTCCACACTTACTGGATGGTATATGGTAATGAATTACATCCGACAAAAAATTAAGGAAATTAATATATTAACTTTGGCCGCTCAATACATTTATGAAAATGTAAGGTACGTACACAAAAATAAAGGTAATACTAACTACTGATAAAGTTATACAAAAAAACTATTGGTAAATCTAATTGTGCATGCCCTAATCGCATTAAAAAATTACGTATAACATGATTGTACGGAAATTTTTAAAGTAGTTTAAATACACACAAGTTTTCATTAATAACCCTATTATACTTCCAATTTTCCAATAATTTTATGACAAACTTCAATTTTAAAAAAAGTTTTAAAAATCCAAAAGTACACGACTCATAATGCTCGTATGATCATCTTATCATCATTCCGGTCACTCCATAAAGTCCAAAACGTATTTAAGTATAAATATATACATCCTACTTACTTCTAGTACATACTACTATTATTTATTCTGTACTTTTAAAATATTGTAATATAAATCTCTGATTATTATAATAATCAAGCATGTATGAAATTATGTTTTTCGAATATTTTGTATTTGTACAGCGATCTTTTTGATCTGCTGCAAACAACCGATAGAGTATCCACTCACGACGGCGTTTGACGTCGAAGTTAGTGAATGAGACAGTCTATTTATTAAAATAAATTAATACAAGGCTGCGAAGACACCGAAAATTTATATATTACGCAGGCGAAAAAAATTATAACTAAACAAAACAAAATTAAACTGCCATTTACATTCCATGGCTTCCCAAATGATAGATGAAGAGATTAAAAATAGATCGAGTTAAACAATTGATATTTTCACAAGTTATCGTGTTTACCACTCCATGCGGATTTGATAAATCTACACCATAAGCCACTAAAACCACCTTTTTTAGGTAAAAATAGCAATTAATCGATTTCAAAAAAATAGTAATAAGTTCAACAATCATTTATCTTTCTGACAATGTGCTTTTCATATCATTTATATGTTCAATATAATTGTTAGATACGATTTCATGCGACAAAACGTTAGATTCTTGATTTTTAGGCGCTAGTAGAACATACCTACGCGCTTTGCGCTCAGGGCATGCAATAAGTGATATTCATTCTGGAAATACTAGGAGCAGACACAAGCTAGTAGTACCAGTTACTCGACTCCGCAGAGACAGACAACACTTTTGAAAACGATTATTTATGTCTTAACGGCATGCAAATAACCACCTTAGCCCAAGCAATATAAAGCAGTTATTTCGATTTTACAGACAAAAACTTGCATGTTATTTATATGCATAAATGAATGAGTTTCTTTTTCACTTTACTGTATTAGAAGTTAAAACTGCATCCCAAAGTATCCACGATTGAATTATAAATTTGTAATTACAGGCTCATGTGATCGAAGGTAACCTGTTCGACACGTATTTGAACCTGACCGGGGCGGCCGTAAAAAAGTCCTTGGAGACACTTAGGGAGAAACCGGACAGGAACAGGTAATATACTAATGTTCTATCTGTATTCTTAACTTTCCCACAGCAATTTGATTTAGTTTTTTTTTTTTTGGTATATACAATGTTGGATGGTTGGACACAACAGGCAATATTGCATTTTTTCAGGCAAAGAAAACATAGTTTATGGTCTATCGTATCGAAACAACAGATTATTAACGTATACAATTAACCAGATGGCAGTAATAATCACGTATAGCACATAAAAACAAATCTATAATGGTTGCAAATCATGCCACTTAATTTGATCATTTACAAGCAACTGTTCGACAACTCTTTGTATAGGTAATTGATTTGTAGTGGGAAATGTTGTACAAAAATCGAGGCTATGAGTGTTGATATTATACCGTACTGCATTAAAAATGAAATAAAACTTTATACTTTACAATTTTAATCTTTAGAAAACCGCCGTTATAATAAAATCTTAAATTCTGTTGCAGATGGGTGGCGACCGCTACAACTGTGAACGCGTTTTATTCGGCTACCCTCAACTCAGTCAGTAAGTATATTATATATTATAAGATATATAATTGGCCAGTTTAGGAGTATCCTTAACCGACGAGCGTGTATGCGTAGATATATGGATGTAAAGGAGGCGAGAGTGGTGTGTCAGGATCGAGCCAAATGGAAGTCCATAGTCTGTGCCTACCCCTCTGGGTGACAGGCGTGAGTTTGTATTGTATTTTTTGTATATTTTTCGTAAAAGGCGACAGAGGAAAAACTGAAACAGGAATATTCCTAATAGCAACTAGAAAAACATACCGCGGTTACAATGACAAAAATAGGGAATATTTGCACTTGTAATCTCTAAAAGGCAACCTATGGCCATGCTGCCTATACACTGCTATACATGGCCATATAGGCCATGTATAGCAGTTTAATTTTGGTAGGCTGTAACGGTAACATAAAAGTTTAAAAAAAGTTAAAGTTACATCCTATATACGCCCTACTGCTGCTTTTCATTTCTGAGATGGTTTTAGGCATAGATTGTAATCTGTGGTTTTAGGGCAAGAAATGTCCGCCGCGCTGCCCCAATGCGTGTTGGCGGACTTCACACGTCTTTGAAATATTTATTTTATTTCTTCGTCATGCAGGTTTCCTCACGATGTTTTCCTTCACCGTCGATCACGTGGTAAATCAGCACTTAAAATTGCAATTAACGATTTCATTTGTGCCGGCGGGGATCGAACTCGGGTCGCTTGCGTACTGTGAAATTTACAACGCAGAGCCGACATCCATGGAATGAAATACGCTTGTCTCACCACAGCACGGCGAATTGTTCTCTACAACGCTCTTTCCAATGAAATTGATCCATGTAAATAAAAAAACATGCGTGAGTGTCGGTGGTACACTCGGTTGGAACGAAGTTCCTTATTATTGATAAACGTATTATAACATTGATTAACAAATACAAATAAATGTATAAATAGTCATTTAAAATAAAATACACTATGACGCAAGGGGTAGTGACGAAAAAATCTTACACTTTTTGTCGCCTAGCTCCCATCCGCCAAACCCGTATCTACCGTCCGATAAGGAACTTCGTTCCAAAAAAATCTATTAATTAACTTATTACCTATCATAACAGAGATAAATTGTATTGTTTACAGCGTTCCCGGCCGGAATCCTACAACCGCCATTTTACGGAAACGGAATCGAGTGAGCATCTACATACATTAATATAAATGATTAAACAAAACATTATTATTAGTACCTACATGTATCGTTACATTATATTATTGTTGTACACAATAATAACATGTAATATGCAGAGGACCGTTCTTCAGAGCTTAGGCCTCGCCGTGAATTGCCTCAGGGGCGAATTTTTCATAGTTCATCATCATCATTACAGCTCTTCACTAGTCCACTGCTGAACATAGACCTCCCCCAAGGAATGCCACAAAACACGGTCCTGAGCCACCTGCATCCATTGACTTACTATAAAAAAAAAATTAAAAATCAACATTGCACGCATCTCCACAATATCTATAATAAAATTGCTAAGTATATTGCATTTGATTTCTACTTTCTGTGGCAGAGCAATAAATTACGGGTCTATCGGCGCCATTATGGGACATGAAGTGACGCACGGCTTCGACGACCAAGGTAAGATTTTTGTCGATAGCAACAATTTTTTTGGCTGTATGATTAGTGGACTTACTCACGGAAAGAAAAAGGTTTCTTTCCACACATACGCCACTAGATTTCAATTACCAGATAAAATATAAGGGTTTATTATACTAAATATCTTTTTGGCAGGCATACAGTACAGTTAACCTATCATATTATATACGTACGTGAAATTTAAATTAATTTAGGGCCGATTTTTCAATCCTCAGTTAAAAGTTTTCACAGAATAAAATACAACTTAAGCATATTAAAAATAACATTCAGTCAGGTCACACTTGGCAGTAATGAATGGACATCAACGACTTTTTCTGCCACCAGGGTGGCGCCACTTAAAAATGAGGTGTAATATTTGACAGCTTTCATATGTAGCGGGGAAGTTAATTTACATTTTTCTAAGTTGTATTTTATATTTTATAATATATATAGTTATATTTTATATTAGTTAGCTTAAAAATAAATAAAATATTCATAAAAGTAATAAATGTAAAAAAAAAGAGTTAAAAATTAAATAGCAACCCACAGAGGCATTGTTTTTGTATATTAATGTAATACTCTAGAAATTGATTAATTATTATTTAAAGCTAACTTCTTAATTAAATGAGATTGTGTAACAAAAAATTTCACCTCAGTGTTAACTAGCGACATCTGGTGAGTGCAAGATTGTTAGTCCTCATTAGCACTCATTATTTGATCGATAATTTTTTTTGGACATTCGGGCCTTAATTTAACACATTCAATATCCGATTTTCAGACACAACGGTAAGACAATAGCAATGACCTACATGTAGTACACGAGACAGCGAAAGGGTTAATAACGAAATAATTTGTATTTTTTATTTGAACCAAATGGACACTCGACGGATCAACGAGCCTTTCCCATTGCAGGTAGAAATTGTCTTAATCACCTCGCTTGGCAGGTGGCAGGCATAACGATCTCAATACAGAACGTTTCGTACTTATATATAACGCTGCTCCCCATCGCTGGTCTGCGTATTTTGCTTGTGATGTAAGCGCGATTGTTACACCGACATCTATCGGAAGCTATAAGATCTCTTTGCCATATCCCATAGTAACCTCTAACGACACAGGAAGTAAAAGGCGGCGCGATCAACCTACATAATATTAACTTGAAATTTTCAAAAACCCCCGATACAAAAGAGCTGATGTTTTTCAAACGGCTGAAAACATTTTCTTGAATCGTAGCTAAGAACACTCTCGATGAAGTCACCTTTTAAGCAAAAAAACGCACAAACGTTCACCCACTTAAGAGCTATGGTGCCACAGACAGACAGGCAGACACACAGACACACAGACAGAGAGACAGACACACATTGCGGTCAAACTTATAACACATTTTGATTCTTTATTGAGGATAAATGTAGATGTCTATGGGTCACAGCAATCACTTACCATCAGGTGGACTGTGTGCTCGTGTGTCACCCTATCCTATAAAAAATCTTTTTACAATATTTTTTCTTTTGTTATTTGATATTTTTTGATTACGATTTTGCGTTACAATTACCAATTTTTAACACGCTTTTATTAGCTTAGCGTGTATCTATCTAGTAACGGAATCTTTTAATGTAATTTTCACCAACTTGGAGACGGCCGATTATTTTGAAAATTTGTACTCGTGTCAAGGACCAATGATAATACAATAGTTTATTGGCTTTATCCTAGTATCCTGATCAGGATTACCAGGTTAAATATCTCGAGAATCATCACAGCACATATTTGTTAGCGTTTTATGGATAATTTATCTTTCTTTAGTATTCATTCTAAGGTGATATCTTTATGAGTCTGCAGCATGTTGAAATCTCAACAGGGATAATTTTAGTTTACCACTGGCAACATCACTAATCTATGTTTTGTCAGTAGTTCGACTAAGGCCACCGAAGACGTTACGCTTGCTTGTGGTAATTGTAATTTAAACTGTTTAAGTTTATTAAGTTTTCGAAATCAGTGGGATTGTCATTAAACAATACAGTTCATTGATGGCAATAAAGTGACGTTTCAATCAGGTGTACTGAGTTGAAATTGAACTTGCAGGTCGCCGGTACGACGAGGAGGGCAACCTGAAGCAGTGGTGGTCGGCAGCGACGCTGGAGCACTACCACGGCAAGGTGCAGTGCATCGTGGACCAGTACAGCCGCTACCACCTGCCGCAGCTGCCCAACTACACCGTGAGTATAAAGCACCTTCGAATATATAATTTATAGAATAAGATATGGTAATGGAATTACTATCGTCTTAATTATTTCAAATCTTTTATTTTATTTTATTGTGAACGGTGACAATGTAATATACACAATCAACAGTTTGATTTTTCGGTTGTAAATTCTACAACGGAATGGAGGAACGGTCTAGCTATTTATATGCTAGTGTCTACTGGGAGTACCTTCAAAACGCTATCGCGTTTTGCAAACTCTTGAACGTTATTCTATGCCTTAAAGTATTATGGCGTTTGTGATCATTGATTAAACATTATTACATTCTTTCTAATTGTGAACTAAATGTCTAAAGGTAGTATGAGTAATAACTAAGTCGTTCAAACAGATCAGTTGGGTATGCCACTGGGGTCGATTTTAGGTCCGTTATTATTTTTGTCTTCATTAATAACCTGATCCCATATATTGTCAAAATATCTATATAATTATGCCGTTATAAACATAATTATTTAAGAAGATGCCATATCTTTTTTATTTTTCATTTAAATAGAAAAAAATTAAGCAGCTTTATATCATTTTCTATAACGTTACTTAGTAGTAATAATACGTAAAAATCCCATTAATCTGTATTTTATTGTAAATTAAATGAAGTCGTAACATTTAAGAAAAGCTAGGAGCCTGTGCAGCATTAGAAATAAATCTGCTGAAAACTGTTGACACCCGTTTTTGGTAGTGAAATCACCGAAAAGATACCATTGTGGCTACAGCCTTTGATTATTATGCTTACATTTTTCTATCCAATATCAGCGTTAATTTCAAGATAATACGGAAATCTCCATGGAATTAAAAATGATCTTGTCTAAAGCATCAAACATCAATTGTTATTGATTCTTGATGCGTAGGTAGTTGTTTTTCAAGCACAGATACATAATAAAAGAACGTAGTACAGTTTTTTTTAATTTTCGCCTATACTTCATAGCACATCTCATACAAAAGACTTCTTTGTTTAAAAACAACAGAGAATTATTTTATTTTCAACTATGTTTATATTTATCAGCCAGCATTTACTTCTTAAATTGTAAAGAGTTCGTTCTCACTACGTTCTCACTTTTTTGAACGCCCTCGTGTTGTACGTGCTTGATGAATAAATGTGGATTTTGATGAGAAATCAATGTATTCTCCATACACACAACAAGATTGTGTAAGTGAAAGAGAGATTCAACATTGATATATAGGTTGAACATTGAATCATTGTTGTTTTTCATGGTTAAGTTATAAACAATTAATCATGGTTTTTTTAGATGTTTTTTTATGAAAGTTCTTTGTGGGTATCACTTTGACAGTTACTAAAACATACAAGTAGTGAAATTAAAAATGCTGTACAACCGACTTTATTGTAAATAAAATGAGAACATCATCAATGTAGTCGAAGTCAATTAAATACGCATTATTGAGGATAACTCAGAAAACTGGTCAGATCTTGATCAAATTTATATGGGACCACATGAGAAGTACCAGCTTTCAAATAAAAAAAGAATAATCACACAAAAACATACAATCAAATTGAGAACTTCCTCCTTTTTTGAAGTCTGTTGATAAAATATAAGTAAACAAGAAAATGTAAGATTAAAATAATAATGCAGAGATAGACATTTCGCAAATTTTGTTGGCACGACTTCTTAACACGCACACACCCATCTTTTTCTTTATACTAACTCATCATGGCTAAGTCTTTTAGGTACTAGCTTTAACTTGTACGCAATCTTACACACTTACACAGCCATTCAGTAATTTACTAAATTGAACCCAAAATGCAAGTCGTCGGGCTAAAAGGACACAACATTCTTACACCGATTATACTATTAAATATATATTACCTATACTATGTATAATAGTATAATCGGTGTATGTATATTGTACTATACATACTTACACCGATTATACTATTGTGCCCATTTTCGTCTCATCTCGAGGGTAATAGCATAATAATCAGTGTTTGCTCTCGGAGCAATATTTTCTGAACTAGGTCCCATTTGTTAAACTGTAACACACACATCTACATTTAGATCATAAGATTATGCAATAGTTATTTTGTAATAATTTACTTTGTACCTAGTTTAGTCACTGAATTTACGTGTGATTGGAGAAACCAATAAAAATGCTTTATCTATCTATCTATCTATCTTTATCAGCCCATAACCATGTTGTTGGTGGTTATAGCACATTATTTTAAATGCATAATTATGTGTATAAGTGTGTTGATACAATAAGTTGAGCATAATTTTGACTTGGAAATGTACGCAGCGTTGTGTGTTTCTTTCTTTTTTGATGTGATGAAATTTATTTTACAGTTTTCAACCGACTTCAAAAAGGAGGAGTGGTTTACAATTCAATTATGTATGTTTTTTTTTTATAGGATAAGGGTGGCAAACGAGCACACTGCCCACCTGAGGGTAAGTGGTTGCTGTGGCCCATGGACATCTACATCTATCTTCGATTACGGATCAAAATGCAGATGCGTCGTCACCCGTGAGGACTAAGATGGAATGCCTAGTTTCCAGTAAAAAGGGTCTCCGGTTCTCTACACTCACCATACGAAACACAGCAGCGTTAAGCTGCTATTTTACGCTGGTATTCTGTGAGAGCGTGGTCCTTCCCCGGTCGAGCTGACCCATTCGTGCTACAACCATAATATAGCTGCAGAATGGCTCTACCACGTACAAAATGTCCATAACATAAGACAACAAAAATAAACACATATACTGATCCCATTTCTCTTTATGCTCGTCAGCAACTTTAGTCAGGCTTTTTCCAAAGTTTAATAGTACCTTTCAACCATTTAATCCGATTGAGGATGAATTGGTGATGTGCGAGTATGTATGCCGAGAAGGATGCACATCTCTTGTAAAATAACCGATCCGAAATCGCTTCTTTGATCGGAGTGTGTTTTGAAGTGTTTTCCACATAATGATTTCTTATGTTGATGCGAACACTACACTTTTAAATAAAACTAGTTTTGACGGATTTTATCGCGTATATTAACGTTTTCTTAAACGCCGGGAATATTAAATAAATTAATATATGTCATAAAATCCCTAGTAAAAACTAATTTTATTTAAATATAACCACAGTCAACACAAAGAAGAGTTACATATATATCGGCAATGCTAACAAAGATCAAATGCGATAATATGGGCGGATAGAGAAGGAACAAACCTCCCTACAACTGGAGGTATGCCCAACAGTGCACTTATATAAGGAAAGTATACTCGTAGATAAGGAAAGGAAGGTATAGATAAGGAAAGAAAAGTATAGATTAAGGAAAGGGAAGATACATAAGCCATAAATGTGGAAACTAAAATTAACGACCTTGGAACACGGGGCTTTCAGCGTGCGTGACAAACATACGCTTTTGAATTATTATGGCCTGATCCTGCATTAAAATACTGTAACATATTTGCACAGGTGCACGGATTCAACACGCAAGGCGAGAATATCGCGGACAACGGCGGGCTTAGAGCAGCGCTCAACGCGTACGAGCTGCACACGCAACGTCACCCAGAAGCGGCCCGGGACACGCTGCCCGGCCTGCCGCAATACTCGCACCACCAGCTGTTCTTCCTGGGCTTCGCACAGGTACATGTATATACATTGTTCACTCACTCACTCACTGACCGGGACAAGCTGACTGGCCTGCCGCAATATTCGCACCACCAGCTGCTCTTCCAGGGCTTCGCACAGGTACATGTATATACATTGTTCACTCACTCACTCACTGACCGGGACAAGCTGACTGGCCTGCCGCAATATTCGCACCACCAGCTGCTCTTCCTGGGCTTCGCACAGGTACATGTATATACATTGTTCACTCACTCACTCACTGACCGGGACAAGCTGACTGGCCTTCCGCAATATTCGCACCACCAGCTGCTCTTCCTGGGCTTCGCACAGGTACATGTATATACATTGTTCACTCACTTACTCACTGACCGGGACAAGCTGACTGGCCTGCCGCAATATTCGCACCACCAGCTGCTCTTCCTGGGCTTCGCACAGGTACATGTATATACATTGTTCACTCACTCACTCACTCACCGGGACAAGGTGCCGGCCTGCCGCAATATTCGCACCACCAGATGTTCTTCCTGGGCTTCGCACAGGTACATGTCTATACATTGTTCACTCACTCACTCACTGACCGGGACAAGCTGACTGGCCTGCCGAAATATTCGCACCACCAGCTGCTCTTCCTGGGCTTCGCACAGGTACATGTATATACATTGTTCACTCACTCACTCACTCACCGGGACAAGGTGCCGGCCTGCCGCAATATTCGCACCACCAGATGTTCTTCCTGGGCTTCGCACAGGTACATGTCTATACATTGTTCACTCACTCACTCAGTCACCGGGACAAGCTGACTGGCCTGCCGCAATATTCGCACCACCAGCTGTTCTTCCTGGGCTTCGCACAGGTACATATCTATACATTGTTCACTCACTCACTCAGTCACCGGGACAAGCTGCCTGGCCTGCCGCAATATTCGCACCACCAGATGTTCTTCCTGGGATTCGCACCGGTACATGTCTATATACTGTTCACTCACTCCCCAGGAAACGCTGCCCGACCTGCCGCAATTCTCGCACCACTAGATGTTCTTCCTGGGCTTTGCACAGGTACATGTCTATATACTGTTCACTCACTCACCAGGAAACGCTGCCCGACCTGCCGCAATTCTCGCACCATCAGATGTTCTTCCTGGGCTTTGCACAGGTGTGTATACAATGTTCACTCACTCACCGAGAAATGCTGCCTGGCCTGCCGCATAACTTAGCTTTCTCCACTAGTAGGGCAGTTAGTCTTTATCATTATGCTTGACAGGAGAATTGGGGATCATATAATTAAGGCAATCACACCTTTTTCGCTACTCCATAATTATACCGAAAGCTATCGAAGATAATATATTTGAGAGCACATAGGCAGAATTGGCGAGAAACTAGTTAGCCTTCCTTCGGGAACCCGTGCATTCTAGTCTCTCGCCAAGGCTGTCCAAGGATATTTCTGTAAGCCATCACTACCATTTCTGCACAGGGAGGATGACTCACTGGCCCACGCCGCAAAAGAAAAAGCCGACCTTTTAGGCTCCCTTTTTTCGTCCAACTCGACTCTTGATGACAGGGGGAATACACCGCCGACCATCCCGCAGTGTGACTGCTCTATGCCTGACGTGCGATTCACACAGTGCTCAGTACGCAAAGCACTCGTCTGCCTGGACATCCACAAGTCGAGTGGGCCTGACGGGATCCCGCCAATTGTGCTGAGGACGTACGCTCCAGAGTTGGCACCGGTTCTGACGCGTCTTTTTCGGTACTCCTACTCCCTAGGCGTAGTCCCGAATTCATGAAAGACAGCTGTCGTGCACCCGATCCCTAAAAAAGGTAACCGCTCTGATCCGTCCAATTACAGGCCTATCGCCATCACCTCCTTGTTCTCGAAAATAATGGAGTCCATTATTAACTGCCAGCTCATGCGGTACCTTGAGGAGCACCAGCTGATTAGTGACTACCAGTACGGTTTCCGTCAGCGTCGCTCAGGTGGTAATCTTCTTGTTTACCTAACACATAGATGGGCGCAGGCGATCGAGTCCAAAGGGGAGGCATTGGCCGTTGGTTTTGGACATAGCGAAGGCCTTCGATCGGGTATGGCACAAAGCGCTTCTTTCGAAGCTTCCTTCCTATGGGCTTCCCGAGAAATTGTGCAAGTGGATTACCGTCTACTACGACCTTGATTAGCATCAAGGTCGTAGTAGACGGTGCATGCTCCGATTACAAGCCTATTAACGCTGGTGTTCCACAAGGCTGCGTGCTATCACCAACGCTGTTTCTCCTGCATATCAATGATATGTTGCTAACTGGTAGCATTCATTGCTATGCGGATGACGGCACTGGTGATGCTCTATACACCGGCCGTGCCAGTATTTTTCGGGAAAACGTCGCCGAGTACCAGAACAAATTTGTGTCTGAAGTCGAGACTTGTTGAACAAAGTCTCGGATTGGGGGCGACTAAATCTAGTCCTGTTCAATCCCCAGAAAACACAAGTTTGCGTGTTCACCGCTAAAAGGAACCCCTTTGTCGTATCTCCACAGTTTCAAGGCACTCCCCTTGTTGCCTCAGCCAGTATCGGAATCCTCGGCGTCGACATATCGAATGACGTGCAGTTTCGTGGTCACTTGGAAGAGAAGGCCAAATTGGCCTCTAAAAGGCTTGGCGTGCTCAGCAGAGCGGGACAGTATTTCATGCCGGCACAACGCCTGCAACTTTACAAGGCGCAAGTTCGGCCTCACATGGAATACTGTTCCCATCTCTGGGCAGGTGCTCCTCAGTGCCAGCTCCTTCCACTTGACCGCATCCAGCACAGAGCGGTTCGTATGTTGCGTATTTTATCGCAATTACCATGGGGAGTGCTGTGAGGAATTGTTCGGACTAATTCCAGCCGCTCAATTTCACCATCGCCCATTGCGACAAAACTTGCGATACCATCCATACCACCTGGATGATTGGCGGTCCACCACTGTGCGATTTGAGAGATTTCTTCCTCGCACAACTTCCTTGTGGAATCGATTACCACCAGCGATTTTTCCGGACCGATACGACTTAGGGACCTTCAAGAAAAGAGAGCCTACTCCTTTTTAAAAGGCCGGCAAGGCATCTGCGATTACCCTGGTGTTGCGGTTGTTCATGGGCTGCGGTAGTCACTTACCATAAGGTGAGCCGCATGCTCGTTTGCCTCTATAAAATTTTTTTTTATAGAATTGCAAGGTAAGATAGCTGTGGCCTATAGACATCTACATTTATCCTCGATCAAGAATCAAACTGCAGATGCGCTGTCGTCACCCCTCAGAACTAACATAGATTGCCTCGTTTCCAGTAAAAAGGGTTTCCGGTTCTCTATACTCACCATACGAAACACAGCAGCATTAAACTGCTAGTTTACAGTGGTATTCTGTTAGAGCTTTGTTCTAACCCCGGTCGAGCAGACCCATTCTCATTCAATTAATCAGACGTTTTTCACAGACGACTTTTACTACACCCATAGAACAGGGTGATAATTTTTCCCTTATGTATGTTTCCCTAAAATATATATAAGTGAAGGGTAGGATAGCAGTGGTAAAGTAAAAAATTACTCAATAACAGTGACACGTAATCTATATTGAATAAAAATTATTATGTTCCATAAATAATTTGATGTCTATATTTTCATTTCTAGATATGGTGCGGTAATTCAACAGTCGGCGCTTTAAAATCAAAAATGGTGGAAGGAGTTCATAGCCCAAATAAAATAAGAGTCATTGGTACATTAAGTAACTCAGAGGAATTCGCGCAGGCATGGCAGTGCCCTAAGGGTTCTCCAATGAACCCAGAACACAAGTGCGTTCTCTGGTGAAAAGTGAACTGAAGTTACTGTGATGTTAGCTATAAGTAGACCAAAGACAGTTACTATTAATAAGTTACCTTGAAGCGTTTGAAGTTACCACCTTAGTTGTATATCGATAATATTATATAGTTGCAATATCGATTTTGAATTTATAAGAAAATATCATACATTACATTGTGAGTTATTGACAAAAAGTCCTTATTTTTTTATTGTTGGATTATCGCAATTTGCTGTACTTAGTTTAGGGACTGTTTTAGTTTAGGAACATTAAAATATCTATAATTTAAGCAAACGAAGAAACGTAACCATATAGACCTACGCTACTTTTTGCGAAACATTAACTTTAATGGTCATCTAATATTTTCATATTCTATGACATAAATGGTGGAAGCCAATATAATGGTCCTTCGAGCTAGATATGGACTAGTGACTTTTTGATAAGTGCTTAACAGATCAATAAATTGTATGTATAATAAATAATCAAGTATTAATAATGATAAATTGTGATTGACAAAATATGTCGATATCAAGGAATATCATTAACACTTTCCCAAGTTAAAAGTTCAATATTTACATAGGCCAGATATATACAAAGGCCAGAATTAAATTTTGGTTAATTTATAAAATAACATATTTTTATGTAAAGCACACGAAGGGGCACATTATTCTTTCATCATAATTTGAACATTACACTCTTTTGTGAACAATATTTAACACGTGAAAAAGTAATGAAATAAACATAAAGCCATGGATATATTATATGAGACAATTTCATAATAATTTCATACATTAATTAGCTTTTGTAAAGCAATTGTGATTGTTATTGGGTTAAGTATATATTGTAAGAACAAATAACTGAACAAATAGAGTTTAAGAGCATGGTTAACAAAATAGTAGTAAGACAAAATGACGATACTATTTATTAAAAAATAAAAATACAAATTATATAGATAATATGTTTTATTTCTTCCTCATGTATTGAAACTTGTAAACTGGGGCTGACACTTTTGTGCCTTTCTGTACTCGTTTTGGCTTCATAATTTTGGCATCATGCAGATGACGTTTTAACTCCATCTTTTGTTGAACAACTGTCAACTGTTTTTCGCGCTCTATCCTTTTTGAAAGTTCTTTGTAAGTCTTTTCTTTTACTTTCTTGGCCTCTTTCATAACCTGCACGATAAGGGAATGAAAAATATAGTCACAATAATCACTTGGCTTGTAGCCATCTGATTGCCATAGAAAGCTGGTAACTTCAAACAAAGAAGTTACCTGGGGCCAGGTAACTTGTTTGTTTATTGTAGATGTATCACAAATATAAATATATTGGTCTTTTAAGCATTATACAAAATCATACAATAGTGGATAAATACTACTATTTGTTGGCAGAAAATATAAGTGTAACACCTTGCCATGGTGTATGCAAAATTGGAATTTTTTCAGTACACTTAGATAATAATAATAATAATAAAGAGTTTTATTTGCCTCAATTCACACATAGTTATTAAAAATGTATGAAAAAGATCATCACAAAATTAAATTTGAAACATACTTAAGTAACATAAACATTATGAGACAATAATATTGATATGCCATGCATATATAATATTATAGGCATGGCATATTAATCCTTACGAACGAAAGTTACTTTGTCATTAAGACAATTTTATATATAAACTTTGCTCTATATAGTGTGTTATTTGGACGCATAGTTTAAGAGATAATGAAAAATTAAAATAATTCAACACTCGGCTCGGCGCGCGAACGACACGTAAAGCCTAACGGCCCGATGAGAACCGAGAGAAACCAGCAGAGAACGCTTCTATGAGCGAGGTTAGCTCAATCATTTTAGCTAAAAATTGACTCTCTCCCTCTCCCTCTCCCTGGTGAGCGTTTGAGGCAACCTATGAGGAAGGTCAATATTCAGCAGCGGACTTTTGATAGGCTGCATTGTATAAACGAATACATGCAGCGTTTATTTCGTAAATGATCCTTGTTAAATAAATTCTAAAGGACTTTTTGTAAGTCAATAGTACATTAAATTAATAATCAAGTAATTAATTAACCTGCTCATCAACTTCTGGCAGTGAGATTTTGTTCAAATCGGATAACCGTGGTCTGTTAGATTTCCTGTTTAACAATGATGGATGCGTGTCGAGCCTTTTAGCCAAGTCAAAATCTTTTGCCTCTTCTTCATCCACATAGAATATATGAGTGTTGGATGTTTTATCTGCCACATCTGTCATGTGTAGCTGAGACTGAAAAACAAACAATGTTTTAAGAAATATACAGATAGATAATTTTAATGCATAGTAAAATAAATGCAATATTAATGAGTCATTAAAATTGAAAAGCAAGTACCAGTCTCCTCTCATTTCTGAGAGGACAAGAAAGAAACTTCCACACTGCTCTTAAATTTTCTTGGCAGAATTCATGTCTGAAATATTTTTTAATTTCACAGATTTATTTCTCATGTTTCCTTATAATGTTTACGTTCACAAGCATAAGGTAAATCAGTGCTTAATTTTTATGCAAGTTACAGTGATTTTATTGGTGTCAGCAGGGATTGAACCCGGGTTGCTGGTGTACTATGAATTTTACATTAAGTGCTTAGCCCCTGAACTACCGGAGATCTTAAGGGTACAACAATATAATTATTAATACTTAAAGCTAAAATAGATTTTTTTAGTTTATATCTAAAATTGACAAATCTGAAATGAAAAAATTTATCAAACATCATAGCCCATAATAATACAAATACAATGAGCAAAGCTCGGTTCTAAGCCATATGCATTAATTGATACCCTCCATGCATAGTCGGTCTCCACAGAAATGTATATTTCCTTCAATTAATAAAAATAATATAGGACTGTTGTTAACCTGCAATCTCTCAATGCGGCGACTTTCCATGGTCCGCTTCATGTTGACATACTTTATGTCCTGTGTCTGCATAAGCTTCAATTGCTCCACGGTATGCTCATCTTCTTTCTCAATCTCATGATGCACCTAAATTTAAAACTATAAATTTTTAAATAATAAAAAAATATATTAAAAGAAAATATTTACATTTATAAATGTGACAGATATGTCATCATCATCATCATCATTACAGCCCTTCACAAGTCCACTGCTGAACATAGGCCTCCCCCAAAGAATGCCACAAAGCACGGTCCTGAGCCACCTGCATCCATCGACTTCCTGCATATCTTACCAGGTCGTCACTCCATCTAGTGGGGGGGACGCCCTACACTTCGCCTGCCGGTACGAGGCTGCCACTCGAGAACCTTTCTTCCCCATCGGTTGTCGGTTCTTCGAGCTATATGGCCGGCCCATTGCCACTTCAGCTTACTAATCCGTTGGGCTATGTCGGTCACTCTGGTTCTACTGCGGATATCCTCATTTCTGAGTTTATCACGCAGAGAAACTCCGAGCATAGCCCTCTCCATAGCTCGCAGAGCGACCTTGAGCTTCCTCATCCGGCCAGCAGTGAAGGACCACGTCTCAGTTCCGTATGTCATCACTGGCAACACGCACTGGGTGTACAGTCTCGTTTTCAAGTTTTGAGGTATACCTGATGAGAAGATGTGCCGTAATTTCCCGAACGCTGCCCAACCGAGTTGAATCCGTCGATTGACCTCTCGGTCAAAGTTGGACTTACCTAGTCGGACTATTTGTCCCAGGTAAACATACTCGTCAACAACTTCGAGCTTAGTGTTCCCAACAACTACCGGCATAGGTGTGACATGCCGTGTAGTGGCGGTTAAGAATATCCACTACCCCATATCTTCCCGTGGGTGTCGTAAAAGGCGACAAAGGGAAACAGGCAGGAGATGGGCAGCAGCATCTTCCTGGTAACGGCAAAATACAATAAAAAACTGCGGTTGCCAACCCGCTCGCCAAGCGTGGCAACTATGGCAATATACCCCCCAATGAATAAAGCAACAAACAGACGGCCCCCAGTCCCCGGCGGCCCCGCTATTCCTGGCTACGGTGGCGACCATGGTAACGGCGGGGCAGGGGGTGCTAAGAATCTCCGGTGGAGGTTCGGTTGCCACCTACAACGACTCGACCTGGCAACATACAACGTACGCACCCTGAGGACTGACGAGAAGATTGTGGAGCTGGAAGAAGAGATAGACAAGTTACGCTGGCATATTATAGGATTATCCGAAGTCCGAAGAGAGGGGGAGGACACGGTAATCCTCGAATCCGGCAACTTGCTCTATTACCGGGAGGGCGACCATCTGTCCCAAGGAGGTGTCGGATTTATCGTCCACAAGTCTCTCGTTAACAACGTTGTAAAGATTGAGAGTGTGTCGACGAGGGTTGCGTACCTTATACTCAGAATCACCAAACGGTATTCGCTGAAGGTCATACAGGTTTACGCACCAACCTCGGCACACCCCGATCAGGAGGTGGAGGAAATGTATGAGGATATCTCTAGAGCCATGCATTCCTCCAAAACCCAATATACGGTGTTAATGGGAGACTTCAATGCAAAACTAGGCACAAGAGAGAACGGTGAGCTGAAAGTGGGGAAATTTGGAATAGGGCAACGGAACCCAAGGGGCCAGCAGTTGGCCGACTTCATGGAGAAAAAGGGACTCTTTATGATGAACTCTTTCTTCCAGAAGCGGCCCCACAGGAAGTGGACCTGGTCGAGCCCCGACGGTTCGACAAAAAATGAGATTGACTTCATTATGACGACCAGACGACAACTGTTCAGTGATGTCTCAGTGATCGCGAGGGTGAAAACCGGCAGCGATCACCGAATGGTTAGAGGCACACTGAACCTAAACGTTAAGTTGGAGAGATCTCGTCTAATGAAGTCAACGCTCCGTCCCCCTCGTGCTCTAATCCAAAGTCCCGAAACCTTTCAGCTCGAGTTGCAAAACCGTTTTCAGTGCCTAGAAGACTGCAATGAAGTGGACGATTTGAATGACAAGCTCGTGGAAACTGTCCATGCGGTCGGAGCTAAGTTCTGCAAGACCCGCCGCAGAAGAACACAAAAACTCTCCGATCACACTCTTAATCTCATGGCTGTTAGACGGGAGATGAAGCTACATTCTTCAACAGATTTGACAGCATACAGGCAACTGAACAGACAGATCTCCAAATGCATGCGGCGGGACTTACGCAACTTCAATACAGCTCGTATTGAAGAAGCGATCGAGCGGAACCAAGGCTCCAAAGTCTTTGCCAGAGATCTGTCTGCCAGAAAGAGCCAACTGTCAAAGCTGAAGACCGAATGTGGCAGCATCGTTTCCGGGGCACCTGAGATTTTGAGTGAGATTGAGAGGTTCTATGGGCAGCTGTACACGTCATCGTTGGAGCCACACGCAAGTGTGAGTAACGATCAAAGAGCGAGTCTTATCAGACATTATTCCGATGATATCCCGGACGTCAGTCTGAGCGAGATTAGAATGGCTCTCCAGCACCTTAAAAACGGCAAGGCCCCAGGCCAGGATGGAATTACAGCGGAGCCTCTGAAAGCGGGTGGAAGACCGGTACTTGAAGTCCTTCAGAAGCTCTTTAATTCCGTCCTCCATGGTGGCATTACACCGGAGGCGTGGAGCAGAAGTGCGGTGGTCTTGTTCTTCAAGAAAGGTGACAACGCTCTCTTGAAGAACTACAGACCGATTTCCCTTCTGAGCCGCGTCTACGTGCTGTTTTCGAGAGTCATTACGAATCGTCTCGCGCGCAGACTTGACGACTTCCAGCCTCCCGAACAAGCCGGTTTCCGAAAAGGCTTTAGCACCATAGACCACATACATACCCTTCGGCAAATTGTACAGAAGTCCGAGGAGTACAATTTGCCACTATGTCTGGCGTATGTGGACTATGAGAAAGCCTTCGATTCCGTCGAAATTTGGGCGGTGCTGCAGTCCCTTCAGCGATGCCAAGTTGACTGTCGGTATATCGAAGTGTTGAAGTGCTTGTACAGTAGGGCTACGATGGCTATCCGAGTACAGAACCAGAGTACGAAACCTATCCAATTGCAGAGAGGTGTAAGACAGGGTGACGTCATATCCCCGAAACTCTTTACCGCTGCATTGGAAGATGTTTTCAAGCTTCTGGACTGGAAAGGATACGGTATCAACATCAATGGCGAGTACATCACTCACCTTCGATTTGCCGACGATATAGTCCTTATGGCAGAATCGCTGGAGGACCTAAGCACTATGCTCAATGACCTCAATAGTGTTTCCCAACGGATAGGTCTTAAGATGAACATGGACAAAACAAAGATCATGTTTAATGACAGATATGTAGATTAAAAAAATGTTTCATTAATGCTATTGATATAATATTACATATCATATTAATAAATGAGCTTGCAGAACCTTTACCAGTGGTTGAAGTAAAAATTAATGATATTGATATTAATAAATATTAATATTAATTTCTATTTCTGTTTTTTAATTTGGTTATTAATTTAAAATTATTATTATTATTATTATTAGAATATTAAAATTAAATTAACATATTAATTATTATTAGTGTAGAAATAGTTGTACACTAATAATAATTAGTGCAGAACTATTTCTACACTAATAGAAAAATAATTTAAAAGAAATAAACTTATGTATAAGGTAATATCTAAAAATTGTATATTATGTGTATATAACAACACCTATACTAACAAAATGCTATTAAAGTCAGTTTCTGTCTTATAAATGTAGTGTCAATGAACTATTGATGGGTGAATATACGCTATTTGAATTCCAACGGTCCATAGACAAAATTTATGTTAAACATAATATATTATTGTTACTGTATGCTTAAGCAATAAAGAATATCGTCTAATATTTGGCCCACACAGTCAATTCACAATAATTGTTTAATTTAAGGCATTAATAGCTTTAAATAGTTATAAATGTATAGTCCCCTGGCCTCCCTCATTACTAGATTGTATAATTTTATGGCCATATGTATTATATACTTAAGCCATTATGTTTTCTTTTAACATGATCATACGCCTAAATAAACATCGAAACATATTTTATGAAAATACATTGTAATAATATTTATTAATATAAAAAAAATATTTTATTTTCACGTGCCGTTACAATTATGTCACCTCACCTGGTAAAACTGAAAGACTAAAAATTTTACATAAAACCGCTAAAGTATGTTTTTGAGCTTGAACTACAAGCGTAGTAGAGTGTGAAGTTCGAAGTAAGCTAACGGTGATGAGCAAAACTCAAATAATATTGCGTCAGTTTTGGATTCACTGTAAGAAAGCGTGTTTGTGCCAGTCGTTGGAGTATTTCCCTTGGTAAGTATACGTTTTTGTATTTTGTTGTTACGAAATTGTAAATTTGCACAGTGCAATGTTTATTTTGTGTAGATGTCATGTATTATGTTAAACTGTGGTTAGAAATACAAGTGATGTTGTTTTTGTAGGTTGTGTGTGATTTTGTCTCTTCTCTGGCATATTTCATGTCAGGGGAAATACAGCCGTCCCAGGGAAGTGATGAAATTTTGTTTCGTTAATATTTAATCTTATAACGCTTTAATTTATTTGTTCTATGTACCATGATATCATGGCAAATGTTAAAAAGAAGCAAACAAGGGAGATGAGAATCAAGATGATAAATTACGCTACCAAATAATTAAAACGATCCGGTTAATAAAAAAAAGGAAAAGGGTCAAACTAAGAGCATTAATGACATGATTGAAAGGGAACAAAGAGCTGTTAGAAAAATACGGAGAGAGAAGACTATAAAGTTACACTCTACCAGAAACTATCAAGTAACACCACCGTCATCTGATAATGAAAACCAACCTCCACTTTCACAAAGCATTTTGGCTCTGGCTGCTAAAAGACGATCAGAAAGTCAGCATTAAGTACAAAATAAAGTTATAAAAAAACAAAAATATGAAATTACGTCAAAAACTATATTAGTAACAAAACAAACTAAGGCGCATCGAAAAACAGAAGAAGGAACTCCAAGTGATATCGGAGAGACATGTAAATGAACCCCTGACAAAGTAGTCGCTATAGGAACTAACATACACATACACATACATACAAGACTTTGTTAAGGAATTAGAAAAAAATTGCCCCAGCATTCATATTTTTGTGATACACGAAAAAGAAATTGATTTACGAAGGAAGATAATTAAAGATAATCGACCGAACATTAAACCTTTTGCTGGTACAATAAAAGTACATGAAGTCCGAGGAACCTTTATGAGCAGTACGTAGTACATCAAGAGCTTCAGCTGCTTTGGTAGCAATTTTTGCCCTCACTTCCACTTAGACGACATTAAATACACCCAAAATGATAAATACCAAATTGCATGTTGCTGCAGTATACACCGATTCTGAGGAAATTGTGCAAAACAAAATGATTCCACAAACATCTACTAATCTGATTAATACTATAGACAATAAAGACACGGCTATGATTTTTTTTTATAGGATAGGGTTCCATTGTTTTACGCTGGTATTCTGTGAGAGCGTGGTCTTTCCCCGGTCGAGCCGACCCATTTGTGCTATAACTATACTACTAATATAGCTGCAGCATGGCTCTACCATGTATAAAACGTGGTAGAGCATATGATTGTCAAGAACCGTAAATTTATACTTGTGGAATAATAAAAAAATATAGGTATGCTGGCGCACGTTTGTCAGATTATGATGAAGAAGAAGGATAGCTCAGGGTTACTTTCCTAAAGATCTCCAATAAGATGGTACTCTTTTTAGAATATCTGTCTGATGTTAAATGGGAACGGATCTTGACCATACTACCAGTGCCAAATATACTTATGAAAGGTAACAGATTATTCTACAAGTTTCCAGAGCCAGTTAATGTATTTGAAAAGTAAATTGTTGATTGTTTTGTATTAAAGTAAAATATATTAATTTAGTCGAAATTATCTTCTTTGCAATAAATGAAAGTTTTCATTTATACTGTGCACTGATAATTTTTAAGTTTATTTTTTAGATAGCCTCGATAATGATAGGTGTTTCACTAGATAGTACTATTATTTTTTTGTTGCAAAGTTTTTTTTTTTTTTTATTTAATTTAGAAGTTTTATTTAGATACACCTAAAACATTGCTTTAAGTTTTTGAACATTTTATAATTAAAATTGTCAAATACCATGTGCTGTAATTTTTATATTAGATAATTACTTTAAATCTCAGATGAGACTGATAAGTAGAAAACATTAATTTCATTATTTGATTCGGGCAATTGAAACTTAAGCATTAACAAACCATTAATATTAAAAATTAATTTGTTGAAAGAAGCTGAAAAAACTGTTAACATGTATCTAATATATTAAAAAATATCTAGACTATAATTTATATGTGTTTCATTCAATATTATTCCCCTTTCTTAGGTAATAATTAATGGATTGTTTACTATCCTGCATTAATTTGTCACTACTCTGCCAATAGTGTCACTCCCCTGATAACACATTTCCCCTGGTGCTTATAAAATTAAAAAAAATGGAAAAATCTTCTGGCCCGTATCATTACAAATGCACAAATAGTGTCAAATAGTGATATTATTAATGTTGAATTAAACAGACTACATTTCCTTCAGGGATACAAAAAAATCAAATACCGTATATTCACCCTGATACTAAATGTTGCTTCTGTCCTAAAAAAATCTGAGTGCCCTCAAGAAGGCCTAAAGAAGTTTTACTTCAAGAATAGATACATACAATCATACAACTTAACAATAATAAAACCATACAACATAAATATAACAAATATACAGTACAGAATTTAGCTAGTGCTTCTTTTTTTCATAAGAATATAATAGTCCTAGGGATCAACATATGATGGTCTTTGCTGAACATTGGCCTCTATTCACAGTTGCAGACTTGGCATAATCTTCAGCTTTAACAGGCAGACTATGATCATACTAGCACTTGCTGCTTTCCATCATTGGTTTGGGCATTTTACATTTGACATATATATTATGATACTATCTGTTATAGATTGTAACGAGATAGGAATAAGGATTCTCTGACTCAGCCACTACATGGCCCTATTATACACCCATTGCAGTTTTATACATTAGCATGCTTTAGTATTACGTGTTGTGAATCAAACATTGAAAATAATAATGTTGTAGGGCACTGATTATGATACACTGATTGTCAGTTTCAGAATTAGTACTCTACACTACTACTTATTCAAATTGTTTTTCAAGTACTGTAAGCATTGAGGTTTTTGTTTTCTAGAATAAAGGTGACAAAGAACACACAATCCACCTGGTAGTAGGTGGATGTTGGAGCCTATTGACACCCACAATTATCCTCGCTTAAGTATCAGAATGCAGATATGACACTACCGACCAAGGGTTAAGATAGAATGCCTCGTTACCAGTAAAAAGGGTGTCCAGTTCTTTATACTTCCCATACGAAACACAGCAATATAAAATTAGTCTACCACGTTAATCGACGTAGTTCGAGATATTTTAAAAGAAATTGTTTGCTTCTAAAAACCCTTAAATCTAGAAGAGTACCTAAATGATTCTCCTTATAATCATATATGTTAATCATCATCTATCATCAAACTTATTGATGTAAACAGATATTATTAAATTTTGCATGTTTAGAAACTCTCACCCCATCTTTGACTCTCGAATTAACCATATGAAAGTAGAATTCATCTGGGTTTTTATCCAATGTACGCTTGCGTAACAACTTCAGCGTCGCACCCTTTTCATGATAATCTTCAGCGCGCTTCTTATAATCTTTTTTCTTCTCTAAAAGACCTAAATGTTTTCTTGATTCAGGTTGGTGCCGTTCTTTGTGAGTTTTTTGGTTAGCCTTTGCGGCTTTTTTCCATGACGACATTTTTAAATATGTGTATCAAATTTTCAATGTAAATTTTTAGTAATGTGTTTTCTTTAAATAAACTTTTCAAGTTTTAAATTTCAAGTTTAGTCTAATACAACACAACACACGTTTTTTGAAATTGAAATGACAGACGCTGTCGCTGTCATTTCAATTTCAAATTTCTTCTTTCTCTGTCAGACAGAGCTAGGCTTGGGCAAAAAATAACGATATTTATTTTAGTGTATCGAATTCGTTTCAATTTCGATATATTTTAAAATGTTGTATTAATAACAAAACATGTAACAACAAAAGGAAGTACAAAAGTATTCATGTGTGGTTGGTTTTCATTTTTTTTTTCGTCGTCCAACCGTCAGCGATATAAAATTTTGAACCTTATCTTTATATCATGCAAATGATGACGATATATTGATATATAGATTTTTATCACGAGATATGTATCGTTACGATTTAAAAATATCGATACAATATATATATAAATCGATATATTTTTTCCCTTGCTCATCCCTAGACAGAGCAGAGACAAACTATTGAAATGACATGATAATGACATTGACATTGACGGATTGAGTTGACGTTATGAGGTTTTTAATGATTTAAGGCAAAAGGATCTGTACCCATGAACTTTTTAGCCTACAGTTGACCTTAGCTTAGTTCAGGAAATAGTCGATCCCGGCGGTATCTTAAGTCAAGTTGCCAAAGAGGACAAAATATCTTGAGGTTATCATCATCGGAGCACTCGTAGGTGTTTCATCGTTTCGACGGATAGTTCACGTTTAAACATATTGAATACACAAAATGACATCGCATGCTCATACTAAAATTCACTTCCATCTATTAAATAGACGACAAAAATAAAAGCAAGAATTCGCTTTTGAATAATTTCTTGAGCTATCATATCATGCGCATATTGACGCGTTAGCGCGTCCTGCGCTAATAAAGGCATTGTCTTCGTTGTGATTACTGTTTCCAGCAAATAATAATAGTCCAAATTTTTTCAGCTTCCTTCCAGCGTCCTTCACAAACATCTTACTAAATTAAAGAGTTAATTTTAGATATCCACAGTTGTATTATTCTTTTATTGCATGGAATAGTAGCCACTGATGTATTTAGTTTAAGACTTTCAGTAATTTCATCTATTAATTTGTTAGTTACAGTCAATGGATCGCTACAAAGTAATAATTCTGATAAGTTTTTAGTCTGTAGGTATTATAAAGCATTTTCAAAATTTGTCATTTGTTTAGTTTTATTACCATTTAGCTGTTTTTTTTTATTTAGAAATTGATAGGAGCGTAGTAGAATGATCAGTAGTGGTAGTCTGCATAACTGCGATTGATGCTTTATATTTAGATTTATTTATTTTTAGCATAAAGTGATCTAAACAGTTTTGCTCTCTTGTAGGTAGAGTATGGCCGGCTAATATACCATAGTTTGCAAGCATGTCTAAGTAGTACATTCTGTTTTTGTATTCTTGTGGTCGTTCCGTAGTTTGAGGCCTAATGTTTATATTAATATCACCTGCTATTATAATACTACTATGAGAAGGAAGTGACTCGAGATGAGACTCTAATGAATTTACAAAGTTTTCAGCATTTGGATACGATGGAGACCGATAAATGCATATACGGTGTTATTTAGAACATCTACCTGGAGGCATGATGATTGCTGTAATGTTACTTCTTTTACTTTGTGTTTCAGAGTTTTTTTTTATATAGACAACCACACCGTCATTTTGATTCAATTGTCGTGTTGTACAGTAGACTTCGTAATTGTTTAGTTGCGGGAGGGGTTTATTTTGGTTTAGTCTACATTCTGTAAAAATAATCATATCAGTTTCAAATGACAACAAATACATCATTTTGTACAGTAAGCGAAAACTTGCGACATGATTCTGCTGCTGTATGGGCGCACATTATCACTTTACTTGAATTTGTGAACTCTCCAAGTAAAAAAATAGACACATTACATTTTTATCAGATTCACCAAGTAGCCAGTACAGAAATAAAACAATGTTTTATGTTATTTCTAAACTATATTGGTATTTTCATGGGCTAAAGATGGTCACCTGGAACTACTTCGAATCAGTTCACGGCAAAGGTGCTGCAGATGGAGTAGGGGCAGTTGTTAAACGCACTGCTGACGCTGCTGTAGCGCAAGGTAGAGATGTTGCAACATTAGATGGATTTTTGAAAATCGTAAAACAAAACACACAAAACATTAACGTGGCAACTGTTGAAGAATACCAAATAATAGAAAAAGATATGTTGATACCTTCAGAACAGTTGAAACCATTAAAAGGTACAATGAAAGTCCATCAAATACTGTGGCAGAAAGAAAAGAACCATCTAATATTCAGAGAAACTAGTTGCTTTATATGCTCGGACATGAACAATAAACATAAAAAAATTTGTCGGAAAATTATGCTATAAAGACAAAGATGAATTAACACAAATCTACACTACTATTATAAAGAGGAAAGATTTGTTTGTTTGTTTGAATTGAATAGGCTCCGAAACTACTGGACCGATTTCAAAAATTCTTTCACCATTAGAATCCTACATTATCCCTAATGAACATAGGCTATGTAATATTTTCAAAAATGTTAGGGATCCGTATGTAAACTTCGTTAATGTAACCCAAGGTGTGAAAAAAATAGCAAAAAGAATCCTTATATCGCGTACGCTTCGGAAACTATTGATAATAGAGCAAAGCAATGTACTTCACTCTTATAGAGGATATTAATCTCTACAAAAAAGTCTGCGATACCATATGTTTAACTATTACAGTTATGTCACAATAACTACTTTTTCATGTTAAAATGTGAAATAGTAACGCCGGTACAAATACTACTAATACGAGTACGTACTGATACAAATAATGTGGTCTAGACATCATTCGTATCAGTACCTGTATCATGCATCTACATCTACACTACTATACTACTATAAAGAGGAAAGATTTGTTTGTTTGTTTGTTTGAATTGAATAGGCTCCGAAACTACTGGACCGATTTGAAAAATTCTTCCATCATTAGAATCCTACAGTATCCCGGCTGAACATAGGCTATGTAATATTTTCAAAAAAGTTAGGGATCCGTATGAAAACTTCGTTTATGTAACCCAAGTTGTGAAAAAAATACCAAAAAGAATCCTTATATCGCGTACGCTTCGGATACTATTGATAATAGAGCAAAGTAATGTACTTCACTTTTATAGAGGATATTAATCTTTACAAAAAAGTCTGCGATACCATATGTTTAACTATTACAGTTATGTCACAATAACTACTTTTTCATGTTAAAATGTGAAATAGTAACGCCAGTACAAATACTACTAATACGAGTACGCACTGATACAAATAATGTGGTCTAGACATTATTCGTATCAGTACCTGTATCATGCATCTACATCTACACTACTATTATAAAGAGGAAAGATTTGTTTGTTTGTTTGAATTGAATAGGCTCCGAAACTATTGGACCGATTTGAAAAATTCTTTCACCATTAGAATCCTACATTATCCCTGATGAACATAGGCTATGTAATATTTTCAAAAATGTTAGGGATCCGTATGAAAATTTCGTTAATGTAACCCAAGGTGTGAAAAAATACCAAAAAGAATCCTTATATCGCGTACGCTTCGGAAACTATTGATAATAGAGCAAAGTAATGTACTTCACTTTTATAGAGGATATTAATCTCTACAAAAAAGTCTGCGATACCATATGTTTAACTATTACAGTTATGTCACAATAACTACTTTTTCATGTTAAAATGTGAAATAGTAACGCCGGTACAAATACTATTAATACGAGTGCGTACTGATACGAAGAATGTGGCCGAGACATTATTCGTATCAGTACCCATATCATGCATAACCACCAATTACGTTAACCATGTAATTTTAGTAACATAATTCACTTTTTATCTACACTACTATTATAAAGAGGAAAGATTTGTTTGTTTGTTTGAATTGAATAGGCTCCGAAACTACTGGACCGATTTGAAAAATTCTTTCACCATTAGAATTCTACATTATCCCTGATGAACATAGGCTATGTAGTATTTTCAAAAATGTTAGGGATCCGTATGAAAACTTCGTTAATGTAACCCAAGGTGTAAAAAAAATACAAAAAGAATCCTTATATCGCGTACGCTTCGGAAACTATTGATAATTGAGCAAAGTAATGACTTCACTTTTATAGAGGATATTCATCTCTACAAAAAAGTCTGCGATACCATATGTTTAACTATTACAGTTATGTCACAATAACTACTTTTTCATGTTAAAATGTGAAATAGTAACGCCGGTACAAATACTACTAATACGAGTACGTACTGATACGAAGAATGTGGCCTAGACATTATTCGTATCAGTACCCATATCATGCATAACCACCAATTACGTTAACCATGTAATTTTAGTAACATATTTCACTTTTTAAATCTTTGTTAATTCAGCAACCGTCCGTCGTGATGTCTCTCTCGAAGTTCGCATGTCTCAAGGCGCAGATGCGTGATATACGCGGGTGAAACCGCGGGGCACAGCTAGTTACAAATAAAGAGAATGAAAATAATAATATGAATGATGCAACCACAAACATAATCCCTAAAACTACACCAAATAACAGGATTATTAAAATATTAAGTAATGTTTTACTAACGCCAAAGCGCAAAAGAGACGAAACCACCGTTAAAATGCTGTCTGATTTAAAACCTGATAATAAATTGCACTTGGACCCTAATGTACAAATTTAGAATATGGTATATCAGTATAATATTTCTGGCAGTGGTAGTGATATCAATTTTTCAAGTGTATTTCAAGACTACGTTCAATCTACATTGCAATTGAGCTCAAATGAAATAATTGATGGCCAGTCTAATGTTCTTGGATCATCATTGCTGTGTGATGATTTTGCAAATCCACAAAAGACTGCATTTGATACTACCTGCGAAGTTTCTGGTCATGAAAGTGATACAGGTTCGAGTTCAAGTTTCAATA